GAGCATTTGTCTGTTCTCACGGTCACCTCACCTATGCTAACACTATTGTGCCATTTTTCTGAAAATTTCAGGTATGAGGGATGGGAAATTGAGAGTGAGAAAATTCTTCCAAGGGGTGGGAGGTTGAGATAGCAGCCTCTCTTTTAAAAAATATTAATATTTCTTGTGGTAGACTAGAATTCAAGATGAGGTTGTTAGCCTGAGGTAGACACCCTTTAACCAAAAGGGACAAGTCCATATGGCCATTCAGAAGAAATGGCAGCTCAGGATTCCATCACCTCCTATTGGCCATTTGGGATATTGCAGATGGGGAAACATGGGCATTCTCATAGATGGAGAAGGAAAGTTTGTGTGGGGCAGCTAGGTGGCGCCATAGTGCACAGAGAGCCTGGCCTGGAGTCAGGAAGACTCAACTTTCTGAGTACAAATCTGACCACAGACACTTACTAGCTGTGTGACCCTGGGCAAGTCACTTCACCCTATTTGTCTCAGTTTCCTCATCTGTAAAAGGAGCTGGAGAAGGAAATAGCAAACCACTCCAGTACTTTTGCCAAGAAAACTCCAAAATGGTGTCACAAAGACTCGGGCACAATTGAACAATCACAACTACATTTGTATACCACCATCTTGTGAACAGTTCATATATTGCACTCAACAACATACAGTATGTGGCTACACGAATCAGATAAAACCAAATATCCTTATCACAAGTGGGATGCTTATCCAAGGATAATTTTTAAATCTCTGAGTTGGAAACAAAAGGATGTTTTCTTTTCTTTTTCCCGTGAAGTGATTGAATTGTTCAAATTTGTACTGCACATTTGCATTGGGTTAGAACCAGTGATCACATTTTATATAATCATAACTTTGAATAGTACTAATTCAAATACATGTAGATTCTTCACAGGATTCATCTTTCATATTAATCAGGGACTAACTGTAAAGGATTGAGCCTGGCAGTGTTCCAAGTGGGGGAGATAGCCCCCAAATAACCCAAGAGATACCATTCACTTTCTTTTTTTCCCTTTTTAAAAGTAATTGGGGTTAAGTGACTTGCCCAGGGTCACACAGCTAGTAAGTGCCAAGTGTTTGGTCTGAGATCAGATTTGAACTCAGGTCCTCCTGACTTCAGGGCCAGTGCTCTATCCTCCGTGCCACCTAGCTGCCCCTATACCATTCACTTTCAAAAGTTCTTAATATCAGATGGCCCAATCCCAGGATCTGGATTTTCCATGACAGAACTTGACAGAAGAGTCTACAAGTATCTGTAGTGTTTGCCAACTAAACACTAGAAGCTTAGGGTTTTCCCCTAAACACGGACCATCAGTCAGCATACTTCCTGTTTGTTGCTGTTGGGTGGTTTTCAGTCATATCTGACTCTTTCTGACCCCATTTTGGGTTTTTTCTCAGAGATACTGGAGTGGTTTGCCATTTCCTTCTCTAGCTCATTTTACAGATGAGGAAACTGAGGCAAAAAGGGTTAAGTGACTTGCCCAGGATCACACAGTTAGTAAGTGTGTGAGGCCAGATTTGAACTCAGGAAGATGAGCTTTCCTGATCTCCAAGCCCAGGGCTCCATTCACTGCACCACCTAGCTGCTCTAGCATAATATGTAAGCTCACAGCAAGCACTGAACAAATGGTTACTAAATGCTAGGGTTACAAGGTAAGGAAAAAACAAGGTCCCTGCCTGTGAAAGGCACACATTTTGATGAAAGAAGATAACCTTCAGATAGCTATGTAATACATTTCCTATCCTTGTCCTATCTGCAGCCATTGATGCTGTCCATCACCCTCTTTTTCTCAATATTCTCTTCTCTTTAGGTTTTTATGGCATTGCTCTGTCCCAGTTCTCAAGCCTGTCTGACTGCTCCTCTCCTGTTTGACAACTCCTCCTCTGTCCTCTCTGCTGAATCTTCATCCACATCACACCCTCTAACTGTGGATATCCCCCATGGCTGTATCGGGCCCTCTTTTCTTTTCTCTCTCTCTCTCTCTCTCTCTCTCTCTCTCTCTCTCTCTCTCTCTCTCTCTCTGTCTGTCTCTCTCTCTGTCTCTCCACAAACACACACACACACATATGCACATATGTATACGTATATATGTATATGTACATATACAGTATATGTATGTGTGTACATACATACATACATACACATACATACATATATATATACACTATTTCACTTGGCAATCTCATCAGTTCCCATGGTTCTAACTATCGTCTCTAAGCAGATGATTCTCAGATTTATTTATCCAGCCATTGTGTGTGTGGGGTTTCTCCTTCATTCTCAGAGGAGGACCATGATATCGGGGAGATGATGCCGTGATTTGTAAGTGAATCGGATTTAAGTTAAGGAGGTCTATGCAAAGTTACCAGTCTCACTTTCTCCTCCAGAGCCATCTGGGTCCAGTGGCCTGATGTAGATCAGGACGACTGGAGACGGTCCAGTTTATACAGCCCTAACCTCTTTACTAACCTACAAACTCACATTTGCCACTGCCTATTGGACAGCTCAAACTGGATGTCCTGTAGGCATCTTAAACTCAACGTGTGCAGACCTGAAATCGTTATCTTCCACACACTCCACCTGCACACACAACTCTTCCCTCCTCTTAATTTCCTTGTTACTGTGCAGGGGAGGGTATCACCATCCTCCTGGTCACCCAGGCTCAAAACCTAGGTGTCCTCCTAAACTCTTCTCTCTCACCTGCCCTCCCCACCATGTCCAATCTGTCAACAAGTCGTGTTGATTTTACCCTGGATGTATCTCTTGTACATTCTTCCTTCTCTCTTCTAACATGGCCACCATCTTGGTATAGGTCCTCATTGCTTATGCCTGGACTATTTCAATGACCTGTGAGTTGGTCTCCCTGCCTCTAGTTTCTCCTTATTCCTATCCATCTTCCATTCACCTGTCAAGCTCACCTTCCAAAGCACTGGTCTGACCATATCACCCCTATGACCGATAAACTCTAGGGGCTCCCTATTACCTCCAGGATAAAATAAAATCCCGTTTGGCTTTTAAGCCCTTTCCGTCTTCTTACATTTTACTCTCCTGAAAGTACTCTGCCATTTAAAAACATGGTCTTCCTTCTTGTTCCCAACTCCTAGTGTTTTCACTGGCTATCTTCCATGCCTGGAACTCTCCACCTCCTCCTCATCTCTGCTCTCTAGCTTCCTTGGTTTGTTCAGCCTCAGCTAAAGTCCCACCTTCCACAGTCAGGAGGATCTGAATTCAAATCCAACCTCACTTACTAGCTGTGTGACCCTGGACAAGTTACTTAACCCTGACTGCTTAAAAAAAAAAGGAGACAGGGAGCAGAGATAAGGAACATTGATATTCCAGGTTTTGGACGTGGACAAAGAAGAGGCATAAAGTTGAGTGCTGGAATAAAGGTGCATAAGTTCTATTAAGTAGGTCAAAGACTCCAAGGAGGAAAGAAAGAATGATTAGAAGAAACTGGTAGATCAATGTATCTGTATGAAAACACACAATCAAATCTTCACTCAGAGGTGAAAATTCTGGGGCTATCCTCCAGAAAGGCTCTGAGTAAACTCTCAGTGAACAAAGTGGGTGTTATGCCAGGCTTCTCACACTACAAAGGAGCAGAGTCCGTTTGATCGTCCTACACACAGAGAAGAATGTTAAAACAATCAACCCAACTCACGGGTCCCTTCCTTCAGCATTCAGAAATTCATTTTATGTCTATTAACTGGCAACCAAAATCTGGTTCCTACAACACGGTAAGTTCTGTATAAATTATGCTTATATATACATCATGGGTATATTATTATTTTTTTCATGATTTTTTATTTAATAATATTTTATTTTTTCCAATTACCTGTAAAGATAGTTTTCAACATTGATTTTTGCAAGATTTTGAGTTCCAAATTTTTCTTCCTCCCTCCCTTCCCTTCCCTCCTCCCTCCTCAAGACAGCAAGCAATCTGATATTGGTAATGCATGTACAATCATGTTAATCATATTTCCACGTTAGTCGTGTTGTGAAAAAATAATCAGAACAAAAGGGAAAAACCTGTATGTGTACTTGTGTGTGTGTACACACACATGCACACACAGACAGAGACAGAGATACACACACACACACACACACACACACACACACACACACACACGCGCACACAGAAAGTGACCAAAGTCTGCTTCAATCTGTACTCAGAGTTCATCAGTTCTCTCTCCGGAGGTGGACAGCATTTTTCGTGACTGGAATTTTTCTTTGGATTTTTCTTGGATCATTTTCTTGGATTTTCTTGGCTCATTTTCTTGATCAGAGTAACTAAATCTTTCACAATTTATCATTGTTACAATATTGATTTTACTGCTTTAACTATTTTTTGGTTCAAGACTGTAATTATTTATAAGCAAGGAACTTCTGGAATGGGAAATTTATTCCACTGATACAATCCCTGGTTTAGCATAAACTTATAGCTTTAGAACATCATAACATTGAGAAGTGACTTGTCTATGGTTACACAGGATGTGCATGTTAGAGGAAGTATTTGAACTCAGGTCTTCTTGCCTCCAAGGTGGGATCTCTAGCCATTCTTACATCATAATCTCTCTCACCCTCTGACTAATCAGATTTAACCTCTATTCTCTATTGTGCTTTAAAATTTGCTCTAGAGCTATTGGTATAAAAAGCACATTAACTCCCCCCACCCTCAGCAATTCTATATTTCTTTTGGTAAACATGAAAGAAAAAACATGATTATAGTGTTTTTCATTTGACTGAACAGGAACAACCTTGTATAAGGCATTATTAAAGCTAACTGAGGTTCTATTTGCTTTCATCTTTCATCATGAGAGATGGATGGGATGTACATTTGAAGAGCAAGTAGCAGAATTGCTGGATATTCTCATATTATTGTGTTATTGATAAGGAGCGAAGGACTTATGAATGCACATTTAATTAGCAATACATTTATTAACGACGACCGTACAGAATGCATTCATTTCTATAGAACTGCACCAACTTTTATGGCTTTTCAAGCATATTTTAAAAATTATTTTTTTCAATGTCCCCTATTCCCTTCATAAGTCAGGGTGTATTTTGGGGATGTTGGCATGGCCTCACACTAGAGGACGGTCATTCATACATGTGCAATTGAGGTCAGCATCTACGGCTTCCACTTCGTCTTCTGCAAGGGTTTGCTTGTCCCTTGTGTCTTCCCATTGGGCCAGACTCATTGACAAATCTATGAGGAAAAAAAATGAAGTAACCATGGTTTAGCATCCAGGCAATTTAACTCCTCTCAAAATCCCATTTATAGGGAGCAATGCCAGACTTTCCCACCAAACAAAACGGCATCAGGTATGTTGGTGTCTCAAGGCCTCCAACAACACAGAGCTCCGGTGAGATGGCTGTATAGTAAACACAGGCAGATAACGGGGGCAGTTGTCCTGCATTATTCTGCACAGGTAGAACATTGAGGGTGTTGTGTTCAATTTAAGGCGTCATATTTTAGGAAGGACTTTAAAAATCTGGGGAATGTCTGGAACAGGGCAACTGAGATGACAAAAGACCTAGATAACGCCATATGAGGATTGGGTGAATGAAATGAAGATACTACCCTCTGGCAAGTCACTTAATCCTGTTTGCCTCAGTTTCCTCATTTGTAAAAGGAGCTGAACACGGAAATGGCAAACCATTGGATGGCCTTTGGTACCTTCTGCCATTTTGGCTATGGGAAAACCTCCTACGAGGACCTCAGGAAACTGCAACTGTTTCTGGTCTTAAGAATAAGGCCGTGTTGTAGAACTATACACCAGCTAGCTACCTTTTTGGTTTTTCTTCCTTTAATCTCTACAAACCTTTCCTCCCAGCTCCCATTCTCACATTATCTTGTTCTTCATAGGGCATATTCTTTTTATGTAAGTATCCTTTCCCTCTCCTGCCAAGCCCTCCTTTAACCAGAAGGGTCCCATTCTGGCCCCTCCAACTTCCACACGGGGGTGAGTCCCCCCTCTTCTTCACATTTTCCTGAAAGTTGGCCATCATCACCGTGCTGGTCCTGCCCCTCTCCAGGGCCCATCTTCTATCGCAGGGCCCTGCCCTTCTGCCTTGCTCCCATCTGCCAGGCACTGCACTCTTCTGCCTGTTCTTCAGCTGTGACTTCTCCTTCTCTGTCGCCATTGGGAAGTACTCTTCCTGTCGCCCCTGTCTTGACCCTCTGCTTTTCTCTGCTCTCCGCTTTTGTCATCTCGTGCACTCCAATGGCTTCAGTTACCGCCTTTACCCAGGTTAATTGCTATTGTTGTTATTTAGTTGTTTTCACTCATGTCTGACTCTCCATGACCCCATTTGGGGTTTTCTTGGCAGATACTTGAGTGCTTTGCCATATCCTTTTCTAGCTCTTTTTACAGATGAAGAAACTGAGGCAAACAGGGTTAAATGACTTACCCAGGGACATATAGATCGCGGGTGTCTGAGGCTAGATTTGAACACACAAAGATGAGTCTTCCTGACTGCAGGCCCAATATTCTATCCACTGCATCACCTAGCTGCCAGATTAATTGTACTTATGTTCTAATTGTTATTTTTTTCCTTTTGTTTGATGGCTTAGTACGGTACTAGGCTAGCGTTTCTTTGAGTTGTCAATGTCTCCAGGACTTCTTCTCTGCTCTTAAGGGGCAAAGTAGATAGTAATGCCTAAATGAAAATCTCTGGGTGATTTCTGTGAACAAAAACTATTCCAGAGCCATTGCTGCCCATCCGGCCGACAGCTTTGCAGAAATCTCACACAGTTACAATCCTCAGAGCACATAATGACTTTGGAGAATCTCAAATAGCTGTCATAAAGACCATGCACTTTACTCCATAGGAAAGGCATTTAGGCCCCCTTGAAAAACCTCTTATCTCTTAATTCAGCAATGCCTTTCTTGTTGATTTTTTGAGGACTGTGCCCAGAGAAGGACATTTAAGACCACTGCTCCATTTTGGAACATAAGTACCTAGATAAAAGGTCTCATCCTCAATAACTACTACGACCATTTATTAAACATCTACTCGGATACTGGGGATAAAAAAATGGGGGGGGGAATCATACAATCCCAGCCCTGAAAGAGCTTGCATTATAACGCAAAAGTAAAATAGGTACAAGTAAAGGCCACTAGGTGGCGCCATAGTGCACAGAGTGCTGGACCTGGAGTCAACAAGGCTCATCTTCAAATCTGGCCTCAGATACTAGCTGTGTGACCCTGGGCAAGTCACTTAACCCTTTTGCCTCAGTTTTGCCTATGTAAAATGAGATGGAGAAGGAAATGGCAAACCACTCTGATATCTTTGCCAAGAAAACCCGAAATGGGGTCTCAAAGAGTCAGACACAAGTGAAACGACTGAGCAACAACACTATTGATATTGTTAGTATTGATGGTATAAAGCACAATCTAATAGAGATAAAGGAGAATATTGGTTAAAGAGCCAGAAGTTTGACGGGAGAGCAAACATTTATATTGGGGGCTGATCAGGAAAGACTGCATTGAGAAGGTGGAGCCTGAATTGAACCTTAGACGAAGAAAGAGAAGGGTTTTCCCAGGCTGGGAGGAGAACCACGCCACACGCACACTAACCCTAAACCTACATCCATGTACACCATATGTACGCCCCACACATGCCTGTATCGTGGTAGAGGAATTGATCTGCAGAACAAATTCTTTTGTTAAGGGGATTTATTCTGTGACATTTGAGTTCAGTCAAAGGGCCACACTTGAGGACCTAGACGTGTGGTTTCGAGGCTGCAGGTTCCCCACCTCTGGTTGGGAAGTTAAATCTACAGGGCCTCAAAGATTCAAATATGATTCTCCTGGTACCACAAAGTGGTGCTAATCATCTGGGCAATATGTAATTCAGAGGGTCCTGGGAGAGTCTGCTGTGCCCTTCCAAACACACCTTCCTCTTTCACAGTCTTCAAAATGCCATGCCTCCTTCATCATAGTTAATTCTATTCCTACAAGATGACACCCAGGGGGGTAAAAAGCATTAAGAAGCAGGGAGAAAATTGCAGAGTAGAGTAAAATTTAAAACTGAAGACCTTCAGATGAGATTCTTCCCCTCCCCTCCCCATAACGCATAATTCTTAAAGATGTTTTGGATTCCACCAAAGATGACTCAAGGAGAGAGTGACCTATTTGGGAGTGGAAGAATGTCTGAAAATAATTCAATGCCCATGTTTCTGAGGCAGCCACTGGAGAAATAATATTGAAACCAAATACTTCAATCACTGATGCAACTCTGACTGGCCGTACTCACTGGAATCTTGGGGTAGCGGTTTGGTATAGGAGAGAGAGGGCTGGACTCTGAGTCAGGGAAGCTTGGGTTCGATTCTCACTTCTGTGACTAGTTCTGTGGCTGCAGGCAAGTGAGTCATTTAGACTCTGTGCCTCTGTTTCCCCATCTGAGGAATAGCGATGATAATAATTCTGGTGTTTTCAGTATAACTCAAATGAGATAATGTGTGTGAAGCATTTTGAAAAATGTGTAGCACTATACAAAAGTCATTTTTATTATGTTTTATTTTTCTAGCTCAATTAAAACCAAAGTTTGATATCATATTGTGAATTAACTCACAAATAAAATGATTCTCAAAAGTTAATGTGATACAATGGGAAGGGGGCTTGATTTAGAGTTGGGGGTCCCAACTCTGTCTGCTGTTTGCTATCTGTCTGGCCTTGGACAAATCACTTAACCACTGTGGGATTCAATTTCCTCATTTGTAAAATGATGTAAAAAGATGACCTCTTCTAGTTCTAAATCTATGGTCCTTTGAACTTAAGTATCAGAATATTAGGATTTGGTTATAATAGCTTGCATATCCATAGTACTTATGGATACAAAACACTTTCACACTTTGCTCTTATTTGGCCATCACAACAACCTCGAGAAGTAGATCATACAAATATTACCTCTATTACCCAAAGGAAAGGCATGGTACTACAAAAAGAATATTGGTCTTGGATTCAGAAAACCTGGATTCATATTCTGGCTTTGGAACTTTCCTGCCCTCTGCTGCTAGGCTATTCCCTCACTAACCATTTACAGTCTCTATCCAAGGTACCTGAGCTGATCAACCAGCTCTCACCTCTACCGCCTACCTCCCCAAGCTGTTGGGAGGAGACTACTTTGTAAAAATGAAACACCGTATGCAAATTAAAATTTCCCTATTTTACAGGTGGAGAAACAAAGTCTTAGAGAGATAAAGCAATTTGCATGGATAGTGAGAGATCTTTTTTAGGTCAGTGCACTTTCCATTACATAGTATTGCCTCTCATGCCAATATCTGTGTGATTCCAGCATTCTTTCTCCTCAAAGGAGACAATGGAAATACATACCTCTGGGGAAGCAATGGAAACCAACATGAAGTCTGGTGGTCTCAGTTGACCTGCAGCCTTTTCTACATTTCAAAACTGGCTCAGTAGAGAAACATGTGGATTCCTCTCCTTTCACCACAAGGTCCAAGGACTCATACTTCCTTTGCATTTTGCATCTTAAAAGGGAATTTGGAGAGAAGATTTGGAGACACTAGGTCAGTGAATTGTACAATGCAACATTATTCATTGAAGTTCTATATTTGTTGTTGTTATTCAGTTGTTTCAGTCTGTGAGACTCTTCATGACCCCATTTAGGGTTTTCTTGGCAAAGATACTGTAGTGGTTTGCCATGTCCTTCTCCAGCTCATTTTACAGATGAGTACACTGAGGCAAATGGGGTGAAGTGACTCGCCCAGGGACATGGCTAAGTAAGAGTCTGAGGCTGAGTTTGAACTCAAGAAGATGAATCTTCCTGACTCTAGATCTGGCGCTCTGTGCACTGTGCCGCTGAGTGCCTTGAAGTCTTATACTTTAACACAGATTCATCTTTATTTTACTTATTTGTTTATCTTTATTTTTAAAAATAGAGAAAATTAAAAGTGAATCTCTTTTTAAAATGTTTTATGGCCAAAGAGTTTATCATCCAGTGGCCAGCCTGCTGGCATTGATATAAACCTATCTTTAAATGATACTTACAGTCCATAGCATAAACACAAAGCCTTCCCATCTTGGCAAAACCTTTCAAAGCTTGTGCTCCAAGGGTTTAACCCATGACCACTCAAGGTCACATCCACATCATGATGATTTTTCAAGCAGGACTTTGGTGGAGATGCATTTTCTTTTTTAAAATTTGTTTTTCTAACACCTCATTTCTATGTGTATCCCTCCCCCCATACATCTGAAGATGATATATGTAGAGTTATTCACAAACCTTAAAATTCTGTATGAAGGTTACCTATTGTTATGTTATTATGATTATTTATATTGAAAAGAGTAAGCATTTATATAGCACCTACTATGTGCCAGGAACAGTGCTAAGCACTTTTTATAAATATTATCTCACTCAATCTTCACAGTAACCCTGCAAGGTATATGTTATTATTATTCCCATTTTATAGTTGAGAAAACTGAGGCAAACAGGGTTAAGTGAGTTGCCCAGTGTAAGTATGTGAGGCCAGATTTAAACTCAGGTTTCCTGACTTCAGGTCCCTATGCTCTATCTATTGTGCTTATCCTCACCATCATCATCACCACCACCATCATCATCATCATCATCACCACCACATCATCATCATCATCATCATCATCATCATCATCATCATCATCGTCATTGTCATCATTATATTATTATCCTCCAAAACAAAGAATGAAAAAGACAGAGAAAAAATAAAGTTTATCAAAATTAGCCAACACATTAATCAAATCTGACAATATATTCATTGTTCCATGAGAGAGAATTGCCTTTTTCATCCTTTTTTTCAAGGTCAAGCTTGGTCAATATAATTGCAGGTTTCAGTTTCTTTTTTCCACTGATATTGTTACACACACTGCGTGCATTATTTTCCTGGTTTTACTTACTTCATCCTGCATCGGTTCATATCAGTCTTTCAATGCTTTTCTGAATTCTTCATTCACATTATTTCTCATGAAATAGTAATATTCCACTACCTTTATGTGCCACAATAGCTTTAGCACCTCCCTAATCAGTAGGTAGCTGCTTTGTTTTCAATTCTTTGCTACTACAAGAAGTTCTACCATGAATCTTTTGGTGCAGGCACAATCTTTCTGTCTGGACTCCAGGTCAAATTAGGTTATGGGGGTTTTAGTATACAGTATGTAGCATAATTAAGAATTGCTTTTTAGATTGGTTGGACTAGTTCCTAACACCACTAACAACACATTCCACACCTCCTCCAACATTAATTATTCCCTTCTTTTGTCATCTTTGCCACTTTTATGGGTGTGAGGTAAAACCTCAGAGATGTTTTGACTTACAGCAATTTCTCATTGTTGGGAATAGTTTGCAATTCTTCTTTTGATATGTTTATATATTGACCAAGTAGCCACTGAGAAAGGATTCTTTGTCTTACATATTTGTGTTAGTGTATTAATTCCCAATTAATCTTGAGAAGCAAACCCTTATCAGAGATATTTCATGCCACATTTTGCTCCCATTTCAAAGCTTCTCTTATCTGAGTTGCATTGTTTTTGTTGGTACAAAAGCTTTTCAATTTCACATCATTGAAATTCTCTACTTTATCTTCTGTGATTACTTCTATCTCCTGTCTGGTTGAGTAGTTAATTTTTTTATATGACTCTCATGTTAGTAACACCCCTCAAATGCTTGGGCTTTGGACCATGATATATAGGAGGGAGACTACTACAAATAGCAGTGATAGCTAAGCTATTGGGAAGCCATAATTCATCTATTGATAATCAAATTAAATTTTCAACTTCTATTCTTTAAAAAAAAATGATACTCTTTAAAAGCTAGAAATTACTCAAGACAACCCAGTGTTTATCTTATCTAATTGACTTAGTAGAAATGACACCCTTGTCAAAATGGTGAGGGGAAATGATGGCACAACTACAAGATGAAGATCAATTTCAGCAACAGATTCTTTCCTAGAATTTTAATTATCCCAAAGAATGAGGTTTCATCAATTCTGTCTGTATACTACTATTCTTCCACAGCTCTTTGAATCTTAGCTCTGAGTATTGGGCCCAGGACTCCTAAGAGAAGTCACTTTGCAATGTGGCTTGGAAGATTCCTCTTATGGGCTTAGGATGCTTTGAATTCATCTTACAGTCGCCTATTTCATTCTTCCTAGAAGACTTCTAGTGCCAGGCTCCTAGAATGTCAGGCCTCAATCAGGCCTTTTTTCTCTCTGTTGTAGACAGTTTGCCAGACCCCATCTGTATATATATATATATATATATATATATATATATATATATATATATATATATTTTTTTTTTTCTTTATTTTATTTTATTTTTTGCTTTTAGGCAATTGGGGTTAAGTGACTTGTCCAGGGTCACACAGCTAGTAAGTGTTAAGTGTTTGGTCTGAGGCCGGATTTGAACTCAGGTCCTCCTGACTTCAGGGCCGGTGCTCTGTCCACTGCACCACCTAGCTGCCCCTGTATGTAATTTCCTTAGAGGCCAAGTGACCTTGATGGCAGGTACCATCTTGGAGCCTATTTGTCTCATGTTAATTCTTTTCAGTGACTGGAAGCTGAGCCCCTGTTCTTCTCCTTTTAAAACCCAGAGCTAATTTTTTGAGCATTCACTAATTTTGTTTGTTTTTGTCTAAGGGTTGTTTGCAATACTTACCTTATTCTCTGTGTAAAAAAGAGTGAAACTTTTGTGTCCCATGAATGACTAAGGCTATCTTAGTTCAAGTTACCATTTCCTTGGGTTTTCTTTGGAGATTTACGCTTTCATTTATATTTTGCATAAGGATTGAACTAGGTGAACTCTCACGTCACCTTGAAATTTGGTGACTGGTTTTTCAGTACCCAATTGCAATCCCAAGACATCTCAAACATGCAATAGGAACACATGAAGCACCTGTGTGATGTCATCAGCAAGGCAAACTCCCTCTACCAGCAGACTATCACCTGTAATTCCCTTAAGAATTAAATAACTTGCTTAGGACATAGCAGATAAACCTGAAGGAGTTTCCAAAGCCACACAGTGAAGAAGGGTATGAGTCGGATGTGAAGCCAGGTCTTTCTGACCACAAGCCCAGTACACTATCCACTAAGTCGAGCTGCCTCTACATAGCAATAACAAATAACATTTCTACCAAAATTAACAGAAGCAACCTCCATTGCCTCATACAGCCATCCTCACCTATAACCAGGCTCAGCTCTTGGCTCTCCAGGACAACCTTTCCCCTTCTGCTGTCCCTCCCCCTGCCAGTATCCCTACGCCCTCCACAGTCTGCTTTCTAGTTCTCTTTTGCAAGTAAACTGCCCAATTAGAATGTAAGCTCTTTGAGGGCAGGGACTGTCTTCTTGCTTGTATTAATATTCCTTATGTTTAGCTTGGGCATATAGTAAGTGCTTAATAAATGCTTTGGTAAACTAGGTGGTGCAGTGGATAGAGCACCTGGCCTAGAGTCAGGAAGACCTGAGTTCCAATCTGGCCTCAGACACTATGTGACCCTGAGCAAGTCACTTAACCCTGTTTGCCTCAGTTTCCTCATCTGTAAAATGAGCTGGAGAAGGAAATGGCAAACCACTCTAGTCACTTTGTCAAGAAAACCCCACGTAGGGTCACAAAGAGTCAAACACGCCTAAAACAACTAAACAACAATACTAAATTCTTAATCTAATCTAAGTGTAATTTCCTTATGCCTGAATTATGCTGGTTCAGGGGGAACATGAAACAAAAATCATGTCACTGGGAACATCTGAATGCAAAATTTGCATGATAAGAGATGCTAAGAGAAGGTACCAGAACTGGCAGGATGAGCCTCAGGAGACAAGGGCCCAGACACAGGGGGATTCAGAGAACGGGAAGATGAAACAGGCTTGCTTGATCCAGACGTGGACAAAGCCGATGCAAAGATGAAGGCAGCACGGTGTCAAGATCGAAGTGGAAAGAAAGTAAGAAAAATTGGATATTGAATCGTGCAGAGGGGATAGAAAAAGAATGCAGGGGAGTGGAAAGCTACAGTAATCAAAGTGATTGACAGCTAGGAGCTATGGATATCTGGGGGAAGGAGAAAGAAAGCATAGCCAGAGTTTACAAAACCCTACCGACTTTAGAGAAATGATTAGATCACGGGTGTGCCTCAAACAAAATTTGAAGAAATGAGAACTGTTGCTCTTTCTTTCTGAACATCAAAAGTGTATTCTTTCTTTTTTTTTTGATGCTAAAAAAAACACTTTTGTGATGTGTCTAAATAGTGTGAGTAACCTCTGAAAACTAGGACATTTCTAAGTATATGAAGATCTGTCATTGCACATACAAAACATGGTGGTATCTGCCTAAACACTTATCTCAATATTCGATGTCACGTTAGTAGTCTTTGCTCTGAGCCTCCTGAGTGTTAAATTAATTTCCGAATGCACTAACCTTTGTCACAGTTTTCTTTGATCAACAACCATGCATGAAAAAAAGCCATGCAGTCATGGGCCTGCTTCTGATTGGGCATTTCCAATTCATCTTCAGCCTCCCAATTTGCTTTTCCACAAATTCCACAGGTCTTCCCTCTCATCCAAGAAGAGATGGTAATCTTTGAGGACAGAACACATTTCATGTATATTCTGTTCAATTCAACCTGCATTTATTAACCACCTCCCATGTGTGAGGAACTGTATTAGGAAATGAAGATGCAAGGACAAATGAAAAAGAAACTCTGCTCTAAAGGAGATTATATTCTACTGAAGAGATTCAACCTTTATCCTTGAAAGGAAGACCCATATCAGCTGAGGATGGACAGAATATTACCAACTTCTGAGATCAGTAAAAGATTCCCAGAGGACGGGGCACTGGAGGTGAGCCTTGCAGGAGGCTAAGGATTCTCTGGGGCACAGGGGAAAGGGAAGACATTCTAGGTGTAGCACGCCCTTGGGTGTGCATGATGGAGGCACGCTTTCTGCTAGCCATGGGTCCTCATTCATTGGCTGCTGAGCTGGAACTCCGGGGACTTAGGAAAAAGGCCATCCTTATCCCCTCAGAGTTCTCCTTCCTGCTGGCCAGGAAGTGCCAGGAAGAGTCTGGTTGGGCTCTTCTCTTGAGCTAATGGCCTCCTAGTCAAACCCACACGTAGGACAGGTTTGCCTCCTGTTTGGATCCTAATCCCTTTGGTATTGGAACCTGCAAGATCTCCAAAGGCAGCTAGCATCTTCCTTTTCCCCAGCTCCTGGTCCTTCTATTTCCTGACTCCATGTTTTTGCTCTCACTGTCTCCCATCTCCCACACCCAGGATGTGCTTTCTCATGACCTCTACCTCCTGGCTTCAAGATTCGGATCAAAGTCCACCTTCTGCATGAGGCCTTCCCAAGGCTCCTCCTACTGCCTCACCTCCCATTGCCTTCTCTCTGAGATTACCTCTCATTTCTCATGTATACAAGTATGTATATGCACACATGTATTAGGTGTATGTACATACCCCATATAATACATGCATATGTGTGTTTATGTATATGTGTGTATATTCATATCTGTATCTGTATCTCTCTTTCTCCCTCATATATAGATATATATATATATATATATATCTACATCTATATCTATATCTTGTTTGTACACATCTATTTGCCTTTTGTCTTCCCCTTTAGACTTTGAGTTCCTTGAAACTAAATAGTCTTGGGGTGTTGGGGGCCTTTCTTTGTATTTCCAGCATTTAATACATTGCCTGGCACTTAGTATATGCTTAATAAATGTCTCTTGACTGATGGGAAAGGGACCCCAGCATACCAGCCAAGAGGGAAGGATCTTCCCAAAGGACAAAAACCACCAGGAAGAAAAGAGCTCCCATGGAGTTGATGGGGCTGTACTTGGTGGAGGTGTAATGTTAAGCAGCTAATGAGCAGGCTGGTGGCAAAGTTCTAAGGAAGCAGGCTTTGAAAGCCTCTTAACTAATTGCAATCATACTATGGTTCTTTATTGTTTAATGTTCTCTTTCTGTGTGGGATAAAAACACTGCCTGCTCCATATCTGACTCGGGTTTGCATTCTGAGGACTCTTTTTTTTTACTTCTTCCCTGTCCCCTCCCTCATGGTGAAGGACTCCCTGGACTAGAACCCAAAATAGAATTATCCCTTGGGAATCTGAGGTGGTGGTGGGATTGAAGCATTGGGAGCCTCATTTCCCTAATGAGGAGGCAGGTAACCCCAAAACAATGAACCCAGGCCAAACCAGGAAGGCAAGTGAAGAACAGAGATTTGAGATGGTCACCAGCCCATGTGGCCCCAGTTTACTGTGCTAGATAAGTATAGAGGGAAACCTGTGCAAAATCATGGACACAAGATACAGAATGATGATTCCAGCAAACAGGGCATTGTTGGGGGGAACATGGAATGGATAGAGAAGATTAATGTGAAAAGTCTGAAAAATGTAGACTGCCAGATTATAAAAGGCTTGAAACATCACCTTGAGGGAGTCACCAAAGATGCTTGAATAAGGGAATTTTTTGGTCAGATCCTTTGAGTTTCTGTTCCAAAGGATGGGTTGGAGTCATCAGAAACTGGAATTAGGAGTCTATTTGGAATAGGCCATCCCAGGGCTGATGAGGGTATGCACAGGGTGGTGGCATTCATGAGTCAAAAGGAGACAGTTGTGAAACATGTGCAAGTGGAATTGAAGAGGTGAGGCAGCTGATTAAATATGGAGGTGAAGGGGACTGAAAGGTAAAAAAAGATGGCTCTGAGCTTGAAACCTGGGTGAATGGAAGAGTGCTTGTCCCCACAACAGAAAGATGGAAATCTGGAGGAAGGACAGAGGGAAGGACATTTGGGGAAGACAATGAATTATTTGGAATATATGGAGTATGAGTTGCCTATCAAATCCAGATGAAAATTGCCATCTGGCAGTTGGTGATGGAGGACCAGAGCTCAAGAGAGAGATAAGAGTTGGATAAATAGATTAAAATGCATGAATCTATGTACAGTATTATGACCGGGAATTCCAGTGGTACTACCTTAAGTATTTTGCCATCATAAACTAATTCTTCTAATCCAAATTCAGGTGCTAGTATAGTAATGCTTCCATTTTGTTGGTAAATATTTATGTAGTCTGTTTAAAAATAAAAGGGAAAATGTTAAGTGCATAGAGGCTTTGGGAATTAACGTAGTTGTCAATGATCTTACTTTTCATCCCCCCTCCTGATTTGTTTTTTACAAGAAGGCTTTTAAATGCATTTTATTTATTGAATCACAAACATTTCTACCAGTCATTTATTCCCTAGATTTTTTTTCTTCTTCCTATTTTGATTATCTTTTTATGTGAAAATCTCCCAATGAAATTTTTTAAAAAGAATTTGGTGTGTTTTAGGAAGAAATTACTTAAGTACGCTGTCATAATTTGATATTGTATTCAAGTCCTGGCATCTTGCTGGGCGGCCATTTCTCGCCCTTACATAGGTGATCTTCCAAGTCTGGAATTCACTCGCTCCTTGTATGTTCTTTTTGGAATCCCTAACTTTTTCCAAAGTCTAATTCAGGTACTACTGCTTACATGAAAGATTTCCCAATCTCTCCAGCTAATTTTGTATCACTTCATGCATTTATTGCATTTCCTTTTTTTTTTTTTTGTATATGCATTGTCTGCCCCCAGTAGAATGTAGACTCCTTCCTGGACAGCAACAACTATTCATAATTGTCTTCGTCTCATGAGCGGTCAGCACAGTGACATCTAATAAATACTGACATCTAATAAATGTCTATTGGAGGTGAAGTTTAAAGAGGGAATCTTCCCTCGGCCCGTTTCCCAGATTTAACCTTTTGCTTGAGCTAGAAAAGAGGGGAAAATCCAATTATTCCCAAGACCTGCCTGTCGCTATCTGAGGTGACTAGCACAAGAAGCTTAGAACCTAATTTTTTTTTTGGTCATCCAAGGAAAGTTCTGTGCAGAGCATATGGGAGCTGAAACCGTAGTCTCAGTGATACCTGATAATACAAAATTAAATGATCAAAAGTTGAAGGTACCGTTATGAATATACAGAACTACTGGACTAAATAAATCAACTAACATCATTTCCAACTAATTCTGAGAACTCAGGTCTCCCAGCAGATTATGTGTGTCATGGTTAATGGTCAAAAATAGGCTAAATCTGACATTAGCTGGACAAGATGACTCATGTTTCATTCTAACTGAAATGCCAACTAAATACTAGAATCCCCATATTCTTTCTCCTTCAGAAGCAAACCTTTTTATTGAAGAAAGTCAGTTAGAAAAAAATGCATTTATAAAGTCTAAGGAATGCTCATACTTCATAAGGAAGTTTTCTGGTGTTTTTGTTGAAATTCATCAAAATCAGCTATGTTGTTCAACATAAGAAGGAAGAAAACAAACATTTATTAAACACCTACTATGTGCCAGGAATTGTGCTAAAGACTTTGCAAATATCTCATTTCATCCTCACAACCACCCTGGGAGGTAGATGTCATTAATTTCCCCATTTTACAGTTGAAAAAACTGAGGCAAGTAAAGATTGAGTCACACAGATGGTAGAGCTCAAGTCTTCCTGACTCCAGACCCAGTGCGCTATCCACTGTGTTAACTAGATGCCTTTGTCGAAGTGTTAAATATTAATATGAAGCAGGGATATCTTTAAAGATAAGCCTTTGGAGCAACTTTGGCCCAAACTACACATATTGTTAAATTACTGATTACCCTGTGATTGAAGATTGATAAATAGAAACTAACCTTTTTTGAGAATTACAATGTTTATTTTTAAATCAAGATTATATTAAGCCAAGAGCGTATTGCTACTTATAAATAAATTGTTTCATAATGTACTGTACCTTCTTTCTCCTCATATACAGCTTCATTTGTTGATAACAGGGTGCCATCCAAAGTTACACAGAGATTTGATGATGACAAAGGATAGATTGCTATTCTCCTTTAAAAGAAAAAAAAAGACAATTTAAAAAATTTCACAAGTTGTGATTTTGTATCCTGCAATTTTGCTAAAGTTGTTAATTTTTTCAACTAGTTTTTCACTTGATTCTCTAGGACTCTCTAAGTATACCACTTTATATACATATATAATTATTTTGTTATATGTTGTATATACAATTTATGTATATCATCTGCAAAGAGTTGATAGTTTTTTTCCTCATTGCTTATTCTAATTCCTATAGCTATAGCTATACTATAGCTAACATTTTTAATACAATATTGAATAATATACAAGTTGTGATTTTGAAAACAAGTTAAATATGTCTAAGTACATGGTAAACAGTTAAAAACAAATACCTTTGTGGACTCCCTGGAGTCAAAGAATCTAAATTCTAGAGTCTGAATTCTCAAGAAAACGAATCTATTTCATCAACGCATTATATAATCTTCCCAGAGTGACTTCAGAGGACACAGAACAGAATTTGGTGCCTTTCATGCCTTTCAAGTTGAATCAGAGTCTCAGATTTGAAGGGGTCTTGGAGTTCAGTTCTCTGGTTCAATCCTCACCTAAAAACACATCTCCAAGACAGCATATTTGATAAGCCCTGGCGTAAAGACCTCACGAGGGGGATATACACCAGGTCCAGAGGCAGCCCTGATTCCACTTTTGTTTAGCTCTCATTATCAGAGATCTAGTCAGTACATGGAGCCCAAATATGCCTTTCTGCCAGTTTCTACCCATCCCTTCCACCTAGCTCTGCTCACTGTGACCAAGAAAAAACAGTCCAATCCTTCTACATCAGAGGTATCAAACTCATGCCCTCCCTAATATAGCAGGAACTAAATTAAAACGTAACTGGGTAGTGTTTAGCAAAATAAATAAGAATACAATACAACCTAGATAATGTGGCACAATGGATAGAGCTCAGGGCCTGGAATCAGGGAGACTCGAGCTCAAATCTGGCCTGTGTGATCTTGGGTGAGTCACTTAGCCCCTATTTGCCTCAGTTTCCTCATCTATAAAATGGGGATAATAATAGCATAAATGCTTGTAACTTTCATGAGGTTTAAATAAGATAATATATGTAAAGGGTTTTACAAGCTTTAAAGTACTCAGTGAAAATCAGCTAGTATTATTACATTTTTTTATTATTACGATAAATCACAATGGATTTAATTTGTATGTCCCAGGGTTGTTGTGAGGATTAAATAAGATAATAATTGTAAAGTATCTAGCACTGTGCCTGGCACATAGTAAATACTCTATATATGTTAACTATCATTATTATAATGTTAAGTTGTGGTTTCCTAAGTCAATATATGGCCAGCAGGGATCCCTTTCTATTTGCGTCTGACATTGTTCTATATGATAGCACTTTCAATTCTTAGCAGTCTCTATCATGTCCCCCATGAGCCCCCATTTTTCTGGCTAAATATAGGTGGGGACGTTGGAGGCCACTTAGTCCTATACACCCATTTTACAGATGAGGTATCTGAGGTTAAATGACTTGTCCAGACTCACACAAGCAGGACAGATCCAAGATGAAATTTGAACCCTAGTTCTCAGATTCTGTCTCTAGTTTCTTCAAGTGATCCTTGTGTGAATTTTAGGCTTATTACCATCTTGGTTGCCCTTTGAAACTTTCTCCAGATCCTCTTCTCATACTATAACTTCTTTTTGATACACCATATCCAGGGTGCATTTGAATAGAGTCGGTGCTAGGTTACTGGGTCATTGGACCCAAAGACACGCCCAGGTTTCTGGATGTTTGCTGAAGACCAGAGAAAGGCCAAGCACCTACATGGGGATTCTTTAAGGCACGGCCATCTCACTAACAAAGCATGTCAGAGGTACCCATGTTCTAAGAGGCCCAGGTTTTTCTTTGACAATGATGGAAACCAAACTGCCTTCAACTCAATGTTAATAGAGCAGACTTACCTTTTCCCCAAAAATAGGGAAACCTCTCTTGTGGAACTGGTAGATTCTTTCTTTGTGAGAAGCACAAATTTGGGGGCTACACGGCAGTCTTTGGCCACAACAAGTTCATGGCCGTGAGGATGGGAACACTTGAACTCCGTGCCATCAAATGTTCTCCAGGCAGTTTCCCTGACTTCACACTGGGCTGCATGTTGATAACAAAGAAATAATGATGAACAACACACAGTGAGGTTCAAAGTGGCCCAAACACTGCGCTTGGAGCAGGCATCACTGCATTTCGGATCCTGCCTGTGATCCTTTCTTGTTAAGCAACCATGGGCAACAGCTCTGTGCCTCTGTTTGCTCATCTGTATAATGGAGTTCAAAATGCTTGTAACCTTCGTGAGGTTTAAATAAGATAATATCTATAAAGGGTTTTTTACAAACTTTGAAGCTAAGGCATGAAAGAAGTCTGATGAGTCAGGAGTAAAGGAGGGAACATGGATGCCTGCCTGGGCGCTTCCTCAAAATGAAGATTTGAGATGAGGAAAGACAGAAAAATCCCCTTATCCCTGACCCCCTGTCCTCTGGTTCTTCCAGAACCTCCATCTTGAAGAAATGCCCAGGCCAGGCCTATGCTCAGTCCTCCACTCCTCCACCCCTGACCCTCCAGATTTCTCCATATGTGGTACTGCCTCCTTTCCTCCCTCCCCACATTCTAGCTCCATTTTCTACATTGCCCTCCCCCATTAGAATGTATGCTCTGTAGGGCAGGGACTGAATTTGAGCTTGTATATGTATTCCTCACATTTAACAGAGCTCCTGGAACATAGTAACCACTTAATAAATGCTTGTTGACTTGAAATCAGAGGCTCCATTATTTTTTACAGTTCTCATTTAGGAAGATTTGGGCTTTCCCAATGCCCCTTTGACCCCCAATGTCCTACAATTGAGGCATAGTAACAACAGACCAGCTTCTTTCCCTTAGAGCCCGTAAAGAAAAGCCCTTTGGGAAAGAAGGAAGAAATAAGCCTTACTTTGCTCTTAAAGAAGGATAAAGCTTGTCCACTGCTCAAAATGAAGAGAAGAAATGAGATAGTTACCTCCTCAATCGTTACAGCAAAAGAATCATTCTACCTCACCCTCCATATCTTTATATTTCAGGCAAAACTGGGTCTCATGATTAGATCCAGAAAGTCGCTATGAGCAGACACCGAGCAGGCTTCCTTTCTTGTGGCTTTTCACTAAAAACCCTTTTTTATTTTATTCACATGGGGCAAGCATGACTAAGGATCTGAGAAGCGCTGGGTATGATGGGAGAGGGGGTGATCCAGCCCTAGCCTTTTCAAGATTTGTGGGTAATCGTAGACTACTTGGCCACTCCTAGATCCCTCCCATAGTCTTTCTGTATATAAGGTCCATCTTGTCTCCATTAAGGTGCTCGGATTCTTATAATCTAGCCACTGCTCATATTTTTACAATCTAGCCAATAGCTCACTAGTGTTCAGACTCCTTAAGAGTTTGCCCAATAGGACAGATCTTTAATAAACCTTGTCTTTGGCTGAAAAAAAAAAGATTTGTGGGTGAAAGCAGGGGCATCCCAGCCAGACACGGGAGGAGCAATCGCTTCAGGGAGGATTATGATCATGAGTCTAAAACTAAGAGGAATTTCAGAGGTCTTCTGGTTCAACTCCCTTATTTTACATCTGAAGAAACTGGGGTTAAAGGATGTTAAGAGTTTGCTTAAGGTTGCATAGGTGGTAAACGCAAAGATAGGATTCAAACCCAGGTCTTCCCAGTGCAGAACCAGTTGTGCCCTGTGGCTTTCAATCGCGCCCCCTATAGATGTTGGTACCCTGGGAGAAAGCCCTCTTGCCTTGCACTAGTTATGGCTCTTTAACCAATGGATTTTAATCAGACAACCCCATCCGTCAGACACGACTCCATCCATTGGCAGTGATCTACCTTCATCCTCTTTCTTTATTTCTGAAAGGAAGCTCCAAACTGCCATGGTACTAGTATTAATCACAGGCAATGATTCTATAGGCAAAGCGAATGGAACTGGAAATGTTGAGTAATAAAGGTTCACCTAAAAAATAATGATAAGCAAGATTTAGAACATTCTCCAAACTAGTACAAAAGTGCTCTTCAAAATGACTCGCTATTTCTGTGGATAAGCTGTTGGAACTCACACAGTACATTATAGATTGTTATTGTTTGTCCTTTGTTTTCAAAGGGGACCAATGACATCTCTGGTGATGCCTTGACTCGTGTGTGAATTGGATTTAGGTGAGGTAGAACCGCACCAAGTTGTCAGCCTCCCTCTCTCTTCCTATGTCATCGAAGTCCAGCGGCAGGACAAAAGTCAGGATGACTGGCAATGGCTGGGGATGCAGTGGGTGACCTTGGCATCTTTGATGGCCTCCCAAGTTCTAAGCGTTCCATGGTGCCTGCTGTTGGAACAAATTGTTCTCATCTGCCCATTCTGCCAGGGGAAGTCTTCACATGTTTGAGGTCATAACCCCTCCCAACTCACCAACAGGTTTGAAGCCTCTTGGTTACTCTCAATCTGATTTAGCCCATCTGCCAAGATGGTTTTATCAGCGTATAGCCACCACTCATGCTACAGCTTCTTGGAGCCACAGGTGAGAATTGGGTAAGAGGTGGACACCAAAGGTGGACGAGCAGCCCAGAAAAGAGCTTGGCAAGCCCTCGCACCATCGGGGCCCTCCCTGAACACTCCATACACCCCAAATTATAGATAGCGTTCAGAAGCCAAAATGTCCTTGTATGAGGGACTATGTCATTCTGTTTTATGCACTCGTATCCTATGGAAGACTCATAGGATTTTTGGTTACTTGTTTAGCTTTAAAAAAATAGAACTTGTAGGGGTAGTTAGGTGGCACAGTTGGATAGAGCACTGGCCCTGGAGTCAGGAGGACCTGAGTTCAAATCCAACCTCAGACACGCGACACTTACTGGTTGTGTGACTTGGGCAAGTCACTTAACCCCATTGCCTAGCCCCTCCGCCCTGAAAAAAAGTATCTTTAATATTATCCTGGGTTTGTATTTAAACCATGAAAGTGCCCTAAGCTTCCTATTCATCTAGGTGGTGAAGTAGATAGAGCGGCAGATGTAAAGCAAGCAACACTTGAGTTCAAATTCCACCTCAGACACTTAAGACCCTGAGCAAGACCCTTAACCTCTTTCTCAGCCTAGTTTTCTCATATGTAAAATGGGTACAATAACAGCACCTACTGCAAGGGGTTGTTATGAAGATTAAATGAAGATATAGATAGATAGATAGACAGATAGATAGATAGATAGATAGATAGATAGATATACATACACATATATACACACACATAAAAAATATATACACGTATATGTCTATTTTATGTACAAGCACATATATATTTAGAAAACCAGCATATGCATGCACAGTATGTGCATATGTTAAATATGTATATAGGCTAGAAAAGCACCATATGTATATGTGTACATACACACATATATAGTGCATACATACATATATACATATGGTACTTTTCTAACCTTAAATATGAGCTATTGTTATTATTACTATTATTATCTGTGATAATGAATGGAACTGTTTTCATGAAACAGCCAAAACACCATTTCCCATGACTGCTGTCCCTTTAGTTATTAAGTTCAAGAAGACTGGTCCTGGTGCTTCTATGATGTCTCCACCCTCAGATCAGTTCATTGTCAACAGCCAATAAATATTCATTAAGCACCTACTATGTTCCAGGAGGGCAGTTAGGTGGCACAGTGGATAGAGTGCAGGGCCTAGGGTCAGGAAGACTCATCTCTGTGAGTTCAAATCCGGTTGCAGACACTTACTAGCTGTGTGACCCTGGGCAAGTCACTTAACCCTGCTTCTTGCCTCACTTTGTAAAATGAGCTGGAGAAGGAAATGGTAAACTACTGCAGTATCTTTGCCAAGAAAACCCCAAATGAGGTCATGAAGAGCTGGACACAACTGAAAATGGTTACAGGCACTGTGCCAAGCACTGGAGATTTTTAAAAAAAGAAAGAGAAGAGAGAGAGAGGTAAAAAGCCAATCCCTGCCCTCAAGGAACTTATATTCTAATGGGGAAGACAACCCGCAAACAAATATGTGCAGACAAACTAGTCATGGTATAAACAGGAGATGAGAGAGGGAAGGCTCTGGATTTAAGGGGGGCTGGGAAAGGCTTCCTGTCAAAGGTAGGGTTTTAGCTGGGACTTAAAGGAAGCCAGGGGAGCCAGGAGGAGGGCATGAGGAGATCAGAACTACCTGGTTCCAAGGCGCCACGTGAGAACTCAGTGGTGGGCTGGGACATAGAACTGAACAACGTAAGACTTACTGACTGGTGGGTTTCTTTTCTTTTTTTAAATTTAAAAAAAAATTTTTTTTTTTAGTGGCGGGTTTCTTTTCCAGAAACGTCAGAGGCCACATTTCTGATTTGATTTTTTTCTACCCATTCATAAACTAAGACAAACAGCATTGTCCAAAAGCCCATCAAAAATATTAACAAAGCCAGACTCTACCTCTGGGAACTTAATAACTGTGTGGATTGTTCGGGAAGATGTTGCCACGGCCTGAAATGTGGCTTGGTGAGATATCTTTTCCCCTCACACTTCAGAAAAGCCAGATGCCCAGGCTATCTCTGAGACATATTGAAAAATACTAGGAGGGAAGAAAAAGTTTCATGTTATCAGGGATTATATAGACTAGTAGCGAAAAAAAAAATCCCAAGAAACCAAAGCACACTAAAGCTATGGGGGTGCCTACTTTTCGAATACTGTCTCAAGCATCAGTGGAAGCCTTCCCCAGTCTATCTTCATCTGGATGGCTGGTTTCTTGTTTACCTGGCCCACAGCCGCCTGAGCTTCTGTTTTGTAATTGTTACAATCCATGCCCCATCTCAGCCTGGCCTAGGAGACAAGGAAATAACAACACCCTTAGCTGTGTTGGTGGGAATCTTCATTTTTTAAGATTCAGCAAGAGCCCAACCCCTCTGTCCAGCCTTTCTACCCCAAAGTGATCTTTTTCCCAAGTATTTAAAACATTGAATGGAGTTTTCATTATGCATTTATTATATACTTGGTGAGAAATAAGGTGGAGGACAGTCAATCACTCAATAAACATCTATTAAGGGTCTATTTTGGGCCAGGCATTGAGCTAAACACTGGGGATACAAATACAAAAAGAAAGATAGTTCCTTCCCTCAAGGAGTTTACAGTCTAATAGGGGAAGACAACGCACAAAAGGGAATTAAAAAGTTGGGGGGCAAGGTTGCAAAGGAGTGCAGCTGGTTGGAAAATGAAGAGATGGCTGGCCTGAACCCCACCCCCCCTCAAATGGAGGCTTTGGAGCTCACAGCTCCAACCCTCCAATCAGAGAGCAGAGGTGAGGGTGAGTGCCAAGGCTGATTCAATCTTCCAGGATAATGAGGTTTCCCAATGAGGAGCTCCTGTGGACATGAGGGAGAGTCCAAAGAAGTCCACAGTAGCGTAGCCAAGTGAGAAACAAGGACAGTGTGTCATATTGAAAAGAGCACGTGACTTTGTGTTGGGAGAAACCTGGCTTTAGTGGCTCCTAGCTGTGCCGTCATGAGTGAGTCACAAACTCTCTGAGTCTTGCTTTCCTCATCTTTCAAATGGAGATAATAATGCTTCTACTACACCACAGGGTCGTTGTGAGAATCAGTTTTGGTCTGGACGTGTGATTCTGTTGGTGAATCATGGAGCTTGGAGTGAAGAAACCCCTGGGATGGGAATTGGCAACTATTGCCTGGGGCATTTAGAGTTGAAATTCCTTTCCCAGAGTCACACAGCCAGAATGTGACCATTGCAAGACTTGACCAGCTCTTCCTGATTCGGAGGAGGAGGAGGAGGAGGAAGAGGAAGAAGACAAGGAGGAGAGAATGCACGCGATCTTGCCTTGCAGACTTAAAGAAATATATACACATATATACACATATGTATATACGTATATATTTTTAATTGCTATTTTATACACATGTGACATATATGTATGTGTGTGTGTGTATATATATATGTATATATATATATACATATATATATACACATATATAGGTTAGTTCATTTTGAAAACAACATTTAATTTATTACATACTTTTACAAAAGCAAGTTGTATAGGGGATGGTAGCACACATCTGTGACCCCAGCTACCAAAGGGGTTAAGGCTAGTAGATCTCTTGTGCTCAGGAGTTCTGAGTTGCATCTGGCTAAGCCAAATGGGAGTCTATTCTAAGTCTGGCATTAATATGGTGACTCTCCATGAGAGGGGCCACTAGGTTGCCTAAGGAGAAGCAAACCAGCCCAGGTCAGAAACCGAACAGGTCAAAGCTTCCGTGTCTACAGAGAAAGGCTGGACTTGAGAGCAGCCCTAGCACTTTCAGCCTGGGCAAGACAGGGAGAACTAGTCTTTAAAAAATGAAAAATAGGGCAGCTAGGTAATTGCAGTGGATAGAGCACCAGCCCCTGGAGTTAGGAGGACCTGAGTTCAAATCTAGCCTCAGACATTTACTACTAGCTAGCTGTATGACCCTGCAAGTCACTTAACCCCTATTGCCTCTAAAATAAAAAAAAAAAATACATACAATTCGGGGCAGCTAGGTGGCGCAGTGGATAGAGCACTGGCCCTGAGTTCAAATCCAGCCTCAAACCAAACACTTGACACTTACTAGCTGTGTGACCCTGGCAAGCCACTTAACCCCAAATGCCTAAAAAATTTTTAAAAAAAATTTTTTTTTTTAAATCGTAGGTCTTGTGATGACTGCTCAAGCATTCTCTTGGCCCTCATGACTGAGGCTAGCACTGCCTGTGTCTCCATGCATCGAAGAGGATCGGTCCCTGAGCCAGGAAGAGCCGGCCACTTAGTAAACTTTAAAGAAACAGACAAATTCCATTCTCACCCTCTCCTTGCTCTCTCCGGAGTGGCGGGACATGGAACACCAATGACGTGGGAAGAGACAAGCTGCTAATCTCCCAGTCAGTGCTGACTGCTTTGTGGGAGGCATTCCTTATGGCTGCTACAGCAGATGACCACAGATAGGAGAGTGAGCCCAGATCTTGGCGCGGTTAGCAAGGTGTTCCAGGGGATAGAGCGCTGGGCCTGGAGTCAGGAAGACCTGAATTCAAATCTGCCCCAGGACACTTACTAGCTGGGTGACCCTAGGCAATTCACTTCATTGCTGTCTGCCTCAGTTTCCTCATCTGTAAAATGAGGACAATAACAGCACCCACCTCCCAGGGTTGTTGTGAGAACGAAATGGGATGAGAACTGCTGTTTGTCCTTCTTTTTCTAAGAGGAACAATGACTTCATGGGGTGATATCTTGACTTACTCGTGTATTGGATTTAAGTGAGGCAGAGATGTACAAAATTATCAGCCTTGTTCTCTCTTCCAGAGTTATCAAAGTCCAGTAGAAAACAGACCATGATTGTAAAGCACTTAACACAATGTCTGGCACATGGTACATGCTATATAAATGTCAGGAGGAAGAAGAAGGACGAGGAGGAGGAAGAGGAGGAGGAAGAGGAGGAGGAGGAGGAAGAGGAAGAGGAGGAAAACAACGATGATGATGACAATGACAACATGGACCTTGAGGAAGATGTTCAGAAAGTACAGGACCAAGGTGAAAGTCAAAGGCCTACTCAACAGTTGCAGCTGTACAAAATGTTCCATGTTTTAATATTTTAAATATCAATTTCCTGGGAGAGTAAATAGGAGTTAGAGGTTATTGCATCATGTTTTAAATCTGTATCAATACATTCTTGTGAGTCTTTTTTGGGTATTAAGCATTCCTTTTGTATTGCAGGGGAAAAAATAGCTGTCCCATACTTGATCTGCCTTGCACATTGACTACCTTTCTACTCCCTTTCAGGAGACCCTAGATATCAGCCAAACCGAATTTTTAAGTGATTTTTCTCAGTTGTCTGTGATAACAGGGCAGAGAGTATGAGAAAAAGAGCCTGAGCCCTCTTTTCAGAGGTCCTACTCTACCAGAACTGAACCTTGTTTTCTTCAACCCACATCTGGGGAGCCTTTAGTGGGAGAGGGTAAACATTCCAACCTTTCTGAGCCAAGGTGATCTCTCGTTTTAAATCCAAAGGGTTTTTTCCCTTTCTATTACATTATAAAAACGTGTTGATTGACTAGTCAATCTCTCCCCTCCTTCAATTTCCAGCTACTTGTTCCATAGAATCATGAAATTTTAGGTCAATATCAGGAAAAATGCTGTCACACTTTGAACTGTTCCAAATTTGAAATAACTGTGTTGAGAGGCAAAGGCTTCCCCACTATTGGAGATTTTTCAGCAGAGGATGAATAGAGCTATTTTTTTTTTAAGGATAATGGAGATGTATCAGGCAGCGGATGGGTTAGATGACCCCTAAAGTACCTTCTAAATCCAAGCTTCTGATGATCCTATGAATGTCAGATATGGATGGACACTTCACCATGATGTACAGCAGGACATGGTGGGTAAAGGAAGCACTTGGAGTCAGGAGGACCTGAATGCAACTTTCCATGTGACTCTGACAAAATGGGTCATCATTCAATCTCCCCAAGCCTTGGTGTCCCCATAAATAATATGTGGAAGATACCTTGCAATCCTTCATGCACTCCTTAAGTGGCAAATATGACTGCTTATTTTTACATTTCTCTTTGTTGTTCAGTCATTTTTTCAGTTGTGTCCAACTCTTTGTGACCTCATTTGGGGTTTTCTTGGCAGAGGTACTGTAGTGGGTTGCCATTTTCTTTTCCAGCTCATTTTACAGGTGAGGAAACTGAGGCAAACAAGGTTAAGTGACTAGCCCAGGGTCACACAGCTAGTAAGGTTCTGAGGTTGGATTTGAACTCAGGAAGATGAATCTTCCTCACTCTGGGCACTGCTGTGCCTATCCAGCTGCACGGCCTAGCTGACCAAGTGTTTATTTAGAGCTTGCTATATGCCAGGCATACTTTGCCAGTTGGGATAAGGACAGAGAATTTGTTTTGTGATTTTATTGGCATAGGGAACTCCCAGATGAGAGAGCTCTCTCTATCAATACAAGGTGGCACCTTTTCTGCAACTCATATAGGTTAAGTGACTGGCCAACATCATATAGCCAGTAAGCGTCAGAGGAGACATCTGAACCCAGATCATCCTGCCTTCGAGACTTGCTCTCTACTATGCTACATTGCCTGTCTAACCTTATCAATACAAAGACAAAAATGAAACATTCCCAAGCCTCAGCCTAGTGCTTTTCCCACTACACCACCTTTTGAATGACCAATCCCTGCAGCTTGATCCACAGGACTGGGATTGCCATGTTCAGAGGTTGTCACTAAAATCTAAAGACATCCTTATCCAGCAGGGAAGTATCTTATTATCTGTGATGAACTTGTTCCTAAAAGAGTGGCAATAGATAAATGTCATAGGTGTTAAAGAGGTGGATGACCTGAGAGGATAGGGTGTTAACAGGGTCAATATGTATACTAGTCACCAAGGATGATGGCGAATGTTGGCATGGAGGAGACCAAGAGTCAGGGACCGAAGTCACTGAAAAATGTGTGAGTGACTTGAAGATCAATATTCTTTTCTTTTCTTTTTTAAGTTAAATTATTGTTTAAAGTTAATCCCAAAAAGATAGAAGAGAGAGGAAAAGGACCTATATGTATAAAAAAAATTCTAGCAATTCTTTTGTAGCCACAAATAACTAGAAACTAAGAGCATTCACACCCATTGGGGAATGGCCAAACAAATTAAGGCATGTGAATGTAATGAATACTGTCATGCTATAAGAAATGATGATGGCAATGGTTTTGGAGAAACCAGGGAAGATTTTTATGAACAGATGCAAAGTGAAATGAACAGAACCATGAGAATTCTTTATATTAATAGTTTTCTTAATAGAAATAATTATCTCTTTATATTTGTTGGTGCTTACCAGGTTTCACAAAATCCCAGAATTTGAGAGTTGAAAGGGACCTTAAGTGGCTATCTAATCCACACATACACAGGAAAGGAATCTCCCCTACAACATACCTGATGAGTGGTCCTGCAGCCTTCATTTGAAGATCTCCAAGGAGACGAAGCCTTGAGATCTCCCGCTCAGGACATTAGGATCCACCAGGAGGTCTCCAAGCCACCATTTCTCCTCCCCATCCTGACTCCAAGACTTTATTGTCAGCTTCCTTGAGCCTTGGAAAACTACCAAATTGCTACCATCATCTTACCTTGGTTTTTAGGGGTAATACAGTGGCATCAGCACAGACTTCCCACTTTTCATTGGTCAGCGGAACCACCACTAGCCGCATGTTGCCTTTGCTTCTGTTAGAATTAATGTAGCCTGTTACTTGAAAACCTCGCTCCTTGTTGTCAGTCTGAATCGCTTGAGCGATTGCTGTCATTGTTCGGGGTAATGTGTCTCCAAGGAATGTGGGCTGGAAGAAAAAAGGAAAACAACAAATCCTTAATCATGGACACATTTTAACTTATTGCTTTCGTTATGAAGTGCTAGGCGTTGCACTTAGAAGACAGTAGGATCAAAACCAAGGGATGCATTGTTGCATCACAGATATTCAGGGTAGTGAACAGAATGTAAGCCACGGAATCAAGAAGACCTGAGTTTGAACCTCACCTTACTAACTCTGTGATGTTGTGTAAGTCATTTAACCTCTCTGGGCCTCAGTTTACTCATCTGTAAAATGGAACACCAACCTCATAGGGTTGTTGTGATGATCAAATGAGATAATTCACGTGAAATGTTTTGCAAAGCTGAGAGCACTGTATAAATATTAGCCAATTTATGAAGTAGATTGGGGTAGTCAAAGCATGGTCCGTGGAAGAAAAATTATCCAGGACAGCATGAGCAATGGATTACCAACATGGGCTAAGAATATATTATTTATTCCCCTCCCCTGCTCAAGAAACTTCCATAGCTATCTCTTACTTCTAGGATCCTCTGTTGGTCATTCAAAGTCCTTTCCAACATGGCTGCCAGCTGTGTTTCCAGGCTTATTGTGCAATACTGTCCTTCACAGACTCTACAATCCAGCCAAACTAACCTTCCTTCTGTCCTTCATAAACAGCATTATATCTCCCTTTACAGTAAACAGTGTGGTGCAATGGAGAGAGCAAAGGATTTGAAGTCAGAGGAACTGGGTTCAAATCCCATCCTTACAACTATTCAGGTAGTTTTGGACAAGTTATCTCATTTTTCCAACCTTCAGTTCCCTTGTCTCTAAAATGAGGGGTTGGACTAGTCCCTTCAGCATTAAATTTTTAAAAAATTAAGTACCTTCTATGTCCTGGACACTGTGCTAAGCATTTTACAAAATATCATCTCATTTGATCCTCATAACAACCCTGGGAGATAGGTGCTATTAGTAGTAGTAGTATTCCCATTTTACAGATGAGGAAACTGAGGCAGTTAAACGAGTTGCCCAGGATCACACAGCTAGCCAGTGCCTGAGGCTGGATTTGAATGCAAGTCTTCCTGTCTCCAAGTCTAGGGCTCTATCCACTACACTACCTTGCTGCCATAGATTTATGATGCTATGGTTCCCATCTCCATGCTTTAGTACAGACTGTCCTCTCTACCTGGAATTCACTTCCTCCTTAAGCGAATCTCTTAGAATCCTGTTTCCGCCAATGTTCAGTCAGATGCCACCTCCCTGACGCTTGTGTTAATCCCTCCAGTTTATAGCGCCTGAATCCTTTGCCTTGCGTGATTTTGTAGCTAGGAAGTCGTGCAGATGCAATCTCCTCTGATAGAAGGGAAGCTCCCTGAGGACAGCTCCTATTGTACTGATCCTGTGGATTCATTCTGTGGTTGCTTTTGGTTTGTTTTGTGGTTTTTTTTTTTTTTGACTTGGAAGTAGCAATGAGAAGCAGAGAGAGCACGAAGGTGAAATCAAGTGACTTGGGTTAGAATCCTCTGCCAGTTAATCTCCATATAACCAGGACAGGCCACTCAGTAGCTCCACCCTGACCTATGGAAGCAGACTGCACCCCTCCCCCTGAAAAAAAGGGATGTGTAGAAGACCAAGATCAGGGAGCCTTTGGGGACTCTAGTGGTGGTGGAGGGAAGGGGGAGAGAGAGCGTGTCTGTGTGAGGGGTGAGGCAGGGGGAGACCTTAACTGAACAAAGGATAGAGGAGACCATGAAAGATAAAAGGGATGACTTTGACTACAAAATGTGAAAAGCTTTGGCAAGAATGTAATCCATGAAGAGGGAATTAGCAGAGGAGTGGTAGAGTGGGAAAACAACTGCATTAAATCTCACCGATAAAAGTCTGATATATAAAATATACAAAGCATTGATTCAAATATATACACATATTGTATATCTATATATATATATATATGCCACCAATAGTTATATCTCCAATATTACAAGTAAAAATTGTCAAAAGAAGAATTGTAATCTATTAATAATTACGTGAAAATATTCTCCAAATTACTAGTAGTAAGAGAATGAGATAACATGCAAATTGCTTTGAAAAATTAGCATACTATAGAAATGCTAACTATTAATATGAACATAGACAAAAGTAAAGATACCAATTTCTCCAAATGTTCCCGTTCATAAAGGACATTGTACTAATTGTACACAGCCCTGGAATACTACCAAGTGTTCCATGGAAATCCACTGCCATTTGCAAGAGAACATCCACACTAGAAAAATAAAGTGGATGGAAAAAAAAAACCTCATATCCTTCAGATTATGGGATGCAATTGAATAGGAATCCTATTGAGTTAATCCATCAGTATATACCTGAACACCAACACAGGATAGCAGAGAAAGTGTGGCACTTAGAAGAGTTGAGAGGATGCAGTGGAAATCGAGAACAGAAGAGGGTAAAGGCTATGGGAGGAAAGTTATGAGTTTATTACGGTGGAGAGGAAGGAAAGGTACAGTCAGTCATAACTGGTGTGACCAGTACATGGCCTTTGCTGAATGGAGGGATTCTTAGGCAAGGAAATCTGTGGGATAGGGGTGGTGGGTAGGTGGGTGGGGAAGCTGCCCTGCCCAACAGTAGTGCTGAGAGGACTTAATACCAAAAGACCTTAGGGAATAGTGCTGGGGCATCTTGAGGAGAAATCCCATCCCCTGGGGAAGTTATGGTGTAGGGCAAGGCCCACATGGCTCTGAGATAATCCTGACTCTGGTCACTAAAAGAATTGGAGGGTGAGATTGTTGAGCCTCTGTCAGTTATATTTGAAAGAATAGAGAAAACAAGAAAGATGACTGTATTGAGAGGAGGTCTGTTTTGAGGATCAAGTGAGGGAGAAGTGTATGGAGGGTGCTATATCAATTTCAGCTCATTATTATTATTCTCATTACCCAGATGTCAGGAGAATAATGCTTCTCAAAGAAAAACAAAAAAGATTTTGGCCTTTTCCACCCTGGGTGGGTATCTAGACACTCACTTCTCTTCATGCTGGCATCGACAATCCACTTCAAAGAAACAGTTTCTGTTAGAGAAGTACAGTTTTGGGAAGAAAAGAAGCATATCAAAGATTTGGGGATAAAAGAGAGGAAAAAAAATCAATGTTTCTATGTCCTGCTGACTCGGTAGTTGCTTCTATGGGTGACCACCACCAAGGTTCAGGCAGGTGTTGAGTACATTCTAAAGACACAGGCAATGCTTCATGAATACCTTGGGAGGTATGTAAGAAAGTTTGGTAGGATTTCAGCAACCAATTAATGATAGGTATCTTAATTAGCACATCCTACTCAAAGACGTGCTTTATTCGGATTTTCTTCTACCTATATCCATTTCAGATTAGAAACAACTTACTTGACTCATCATTTATATATATATTATATATATATATATATATATACACACACAATATTATATACACATGCATATGTATATACACATACATGTAATGTGTATATATGTGCTCATACATAATTGATGGGACAAATGAGGTGAGATGTACTTGTATACACATATGTATATGCATATAGTATATATACACATATGTGTACAGATGCATGTATATAGACATGTACATGTGTGTATATATTAATGTTGACAACTAGGTAGCCCATTAGATAGAGTACCAGGCCTGGAATCAGAAAGACCTGAGTTCAAATCTGGCCTCAGATACTTACTAGCTATGTCATACCGGGCAAGTCACTTCACCTTGTTTCAATTAGTTTTCTCGTCTGTAAAATGAGATGGAGAAGGAAATACCAAACCACTCCAGTATCTTTGCTGAGACAATGCCAAAGGGGTCATGAATAGTTGGACACAACAGAAAAATGATTGAACAACAAACAAAAATGTACTGACAGCTGTGTATAAATAGAGCCCTGTATAAATGTTTTTAATTGTCTTAATTCCACCAGCCCATAGGCTATATGAACAGCTTAGAGAATCTCATGATATGTCTACAGGGCTCAAGGGGAACATGGAACAAGGCAGGAAATTTATTTCCTCTGCTTATGATATTCAGAGGAATCCCAAGTATTCCATTCAGCTCCTTACATTACCCACAGATCAAAAAAGTATATAAATACCTTGTCCATTTCTTCCAGTTCTTCAAATGTGCCTCTTTCCTCTGATGATGACTTCTCCGCTTCAAAATGTACTAGCTGCACCATCTTTGCTGGAGCCTCACAACCTGTCTGAACGGCCACTTGTACTTTCTGAATTCCTGGTTCTGTCAGAAGAAAAATGGTGTGAAAATTCCTATTCTTATCAGGCTTTGTTTATTAATTTTAAGATTTGGTGAGTACAGTGGGAAAAGAGACATAGGTTGTAGACTAAAAGTCCTAAGTCTCACAGTCATAGAATCTCACAGCTGGAAGTGACCTTAGAAACCATCTATTCCAACCGTGCCTGAATAAGAAATTTATATCTAAATCTAAGGCAACTGGAAAAAAAATGACCTCTAAGATTCCTTCTATCTCCAAATCTATCTCTGATCTCCTTCCAAAATGCCAGAGAAGTAGTACCAGATTTCAAAATATATTAAAGAGTTGTAATCATAAAAAAAAAAATTCTGGTGCTGGATGAGAAATAGAGAGGATGATCAGTGGAATAAATTGGGTACACAATATATGGAAGTGAATGAACACAGTAACCTAGTGTTTGATAAAACCAAAGATACCAGCTATAGGGCAAGAACTCATCATTTGACAAAAATTGCCAAGAAAACTGGAAAGCAGTTTGGCAGAAACTAGGCATAGACCAACATCTCACATTGTATACTAAGATAAACTCAAAATGGATACATGATTTCGACATAAAGGGTGATATAAGCAAATAAAGAAGTATAGGAGAAATTCCTATCAGATCTTTGACAGAGGAAGAGTTCTTGGCCAGACAAGAAGCAGAGGGGTCCCTGGTAGGTAAAATGGATAATTTTGATTACATAAAATTTAAAAGTTTTTTTTTTACATAAATAAAAGCAATGCAGCCAAAATTAGAAAAGTAAGAAATTGGGGGAATATTTTTTTACAGAAAGCTTCTCTGATAAAGGTCTTATTTCTCGAATTGAGAATTAAATTTGTAAAAATAAGAGTCACTACCCAACTGATAATTGGTCAGAGGATATAAATAGGTAGTAGTCAGAGGAAGAAATCAAAGTTATCAATGGGTCATATGAAAAATGCATTAAATCACTAACAATTAGAGAAATGCAAATTAAGACAACTGAGATACCACCTCACACCCCCAAGATTAGCTAAAATAACAGGAAAGAAAAGTGACAAATTCTGTAGGGGATGTGGGAAAATAGGTATGCTAACATATTGTTGGTGGAGTTGTGAACTGATCCAACCATTCTAGAAAACAATTTGGAACTCTGCCCAAAGGGATTTAAAACTGTGCATACTTATCCTTTGTTTTGGGTTTTTTGTTTGGTTGGTTTTTTTGGTGAGGCAATTGGGGTTAAGTGACTTGCCCAGGGTATCAAGTGTCTGAGGCCAAATTTGAACCCAGGTCCTCTTGACTCCAAGGCCAGAGCTCTATCCACTGTGCCAGCTAGCTGCCCCTATGCTTATTCTTTGATCCAGCAATAGGATTACTAGGTCTATGTCCCAAAGAGATCAAAGAAAAAGAAAAAGGACCTATATTTATAGCAGCTATTGTGGTGACAAAGAATTGGAAACTGAGGGGATGCCCATCAATTGGGGAATGGATGAACAAGTTATGATATATGAATGTGATAGACCATTATTATATTATAAGAAATGATGAAGGGCATAGTTTCAGAAAAATCTGGAAATATTTGTATGAACTGATGCAAAGTGAAATGAGCAGAACCAGAAACACAATGTACATATAGTAACAGCAACAGTGTGAAGAAAATCAACTATGAAAGAGTAACTTTGAGCAATATAATGCTCCACCACAACTCCAAAGGACACATGATGTAAAATGCTATTCACCTCCAGACAGAGAACTGATCGACTCAGAGTGCAGATTGAAGAATATTTTTTCTTTCCTTTTTTTATTTTGCCTTTTTTCAGTACACAGCTAATGTGCAAATACATTTTATATGACTTTATATGCATAATGGGCATTGTATTTCTTGTCTTCTCAATATGTGGGGAGGATTGGAAAGAGAGAGAGAATTTGGCACTAAAAATTAAAATTAAAAACAAACTAATACCAGAGAACTGGTTGTCCTGCTTCAGCACAATGACCTTCAATGAGAGGAAATTTATTACCCAGTGGTATGGTGGATAGAGCTTGGGACTTGGAGTCAGGAAGACCTGAGTTCAAATCTAGCCTCAGATACTTACTAGCTGTGTGTCTTGAGCAAGTCACTAACTTCTCTGTGTCTTGGTTTCCTCATCTATAAAATGGAGATAATAATAATGATGATGATGATGATAATGATTGGTGCCTACCTCACAGAGTTGTTGTGAGGGTCAAATGAGATAACATATGTAAAGTACTTTGCAAATCTTAAAAGGGCTTTCTAAATGCTATTATTATTACTATTATTATTTCTGAGACAAGCCAATTCTACTTTTGTATGACTCTGAATTTTAGGAAATTTTCTCTTAACTTTAGCCAGTATCTACCTCTTTTCAATTTATTCAACTTATTGCTCTTAGCTCTGCCTGCAGAACAATTCACCTTCTCTTTCACATGGCAATCCCTTTAGCTACTCAAAAATGACAATCATATCTGCTCCAAATCTCCGCTTCTCTCAGATAACAGCCCCAGTTCTTTGCCCTTTGACCTATACCGAATTATGGCATTAGTGAAAAATGAGCTTTTCCTTTTTTGCACATAAGTTATTTGGGGGGTTTATACCATGTTTACCTGGTCGAGCAGTCACTATGATAAAATGCTCCCCGATGACATGATAGAGGGGAACAGGCTTGATGTATGCGGCTGAGATGCTTACATACAAAATACAAAGTCGGAAACCTAAGGTGCTCATATTGTAACACACTGTTTTTAAAGCAGGGATGATTTCTCCACTTGAGTTCCCTGCAGAAATATCTAAAGCTGGTGTCACCTGTTAAAGAAGAAGATATTTAATTTCAGAGCTGGTAAAGCTTTGGTATCCTAGACAGGAACCCAATATGTCCCTGTTCAAAAGGCACAAGCATTGAACAGCTCCAGCATAACAAGGAAGTGTGTGTGTGAGCAGGACGCTAAAGAGAAGGAACAGCTTTGCGAACATAAAATGTAAGCATATGGCCGTAAGACTTGTGGGTTGGGGCCAGTATTTCCAAAACGTGCAACATTCTCAAGTGCCTCATTCTCATTATAACTGTATATCTACATACGATTAAATACAGTATTTTATCATTGGAGGAAACTCTAGAGTTCCTATAGGCTAACTACTACGCAAAGAAGAACCCTGTCTATGATATCCCTGACATGTGGTCAGCCAGCTCAAATACCTCCAGTGGAAAGAAACTTAGTACTTTTTGAGGCAGCTAGGTGGCTCGGTAGACAAGCGCCAGGCCTGGAGTCAGGAATTCTAAGTTCAAATCCTGCCTCAGACGCTTATTAGCTGTGTGATCCTGAGCAAGTCCTTTAACCCTGTTCACCTCAGTTTCCTCATCTGTAAACTGACCTGGAGAAGCAAATGGCAAACCACTGCAGTATCTTTTTGCCAAGAAAACCCCAAATGGGGTCATGAAGAGTCAGACACAACTGACCTATTCTATCACTGGGTAGCTGGAATTATTGGGAAATTACTCTTTATATTCAGTTTAAATGTTCCTTTCTGCAAAGGTACCCATTGCTCCTATTTCTGTCATTTGGACGAATCAAAATGTTTTTTGTCATCTGCAGGCTCCAGACCAGGGTGTGCTGGGAAATTAACTTGTTAACAAGTTAACCAAGTCATTGAATGGGTGTTGCCTCAGACAAACTGAGGCCAGGGAATGACCTTCATGTAGAAAGGCCAAGGTCACCCACTGCATCCCGGGCCATCACCAGTCGTCCTGACCTTCGTCTTGCCACTGGATTTGGATGACTCTGGAGGAGAGAGTGAGGATGGACCACCTTGGCATCTTCCATGTCTGACCGAGCTCTAAGAGCTCCCCGGCACCTGCTTCAGCCACCTTCCTGGCCATCGGATCAAGCTGTTCTCATCTGCCCATTCTGCGAGGGAGTGGGGGAAGGTCTTCATGTGCTTGAGGTAGATATCCCCCTCACTCACCTCTGGATGACCACTTACCAGGAGGCTATGGATGGGATTCTTGTTCAGCTATAAGATGGATCCATCTACAAGGATCCATGGCGTCACCGATGGAGAGCCAGCTGTGGATTCAGAAAGATCTGGATTCAACTCCCATCTCTTGACATATATCGGCTATGGGACTCAAGGGAAGTATCTGCCTTGGGTTCGAATTCTGCCTCAGATATTTACTAACTCTGTGACCTTGGACAAGTCACCTAACCTCTCCAAGTCTCAGTTTCCTAATCTGTAAGATAAGGATAATAATAGTACCTAAACCCTATAGACTTTCCTCATGTGGTCTAAGCATTTTGTCTGATAATTCATCTCCTACCTCAGTGTCTTTGTACAGGCCATCCTCCCTTTCTTTGTGCTCTTTTCTCCTCCATCTCATAGAACTCCAAGTCCCTCCAAAACTCAGTTCAGTCGCCACCCCCATAAGGGGCCTTTCCCAATTTCCCCAGCTGTTAGTGCTCCCCCTCCAACCTCTACCCCAAATAACAATGCATTTATTTTGAACATATTGTTTATTGTTATTATTCTGTTGTGTCTGACTCTTTGTGACCCCAGTTGGGGTTTTATTTCTTCTTTTTTTTTTTTTTTTGCTTTTTCATGAGGCAATCAGGGTTAAGTGACTTGCCTAGGGTCACACAGCTAGTAAGTGTTATGCGTCTGAGACCGCATTTGAACTCAGGTCCTCCTGACTCCAGGACCAGTGCTCTATCCACTGTGCCACCTAGCTGCCCCCTATTTGGGGTTTTCTTGGCAAAGATACTGGAGGGGTTTGCCATTCCCTTCTCTGGCTCATTTTACAGATGAGGAAACTGAGGCCAGATGTAGCCCATTCCACTTGGGGATACCTCTTATGGTTGGGAAACGTTTCCTCAGATCAAACCTGCTGCCTCTTTGCAGTGTCTATCTATTTACTCCTAGATGTTACTCCTGGGTTTTGGGGGCCTCAGGACATTGTGGATTCTTGCTCTGATTAAAAGACAAAAAGAACAAAAATACCAGGATTTCTGCCAAATTCACATTACCCTTTTCATCCTCTGGCATCCTTCTGATGCTGTTGTAGAGCTGAATGGATCTTGGTGTGAGTCCTGGAAGCAAAACCCGACCACTGGAGTCATTGTAGCAGATGATGGAGCTCCGATGTTTCTAGTTATTCCATTTGTCTTGGAACTACAGGGAGAATGATTTGGGTCATTAAAATTCTCTGTATATCAGTAATCCATTCAGCTATTCAACGTTCAAAGGGCACCTACTATGTGCAGGGCTGAAGGTACCCTTTTATGGGGTTTTCAGGATTGGTTACTTTTTTTCTGGGTTATAATTCCTGAATATGTCAAATGGGACTAAAACCACACATCAAATTAAGACTCCATTACTATAAGACACTTAAAAAAAGAAAAGAAGAAACCTCAGGATATAATGGATACGTAATACTGTCACTCAAATCACACCTCCCTGTATGTTTGAAAAATGCTCTACTATCCCTGTGCTGTTGAATCCTTATACTAGGGTTGTAATGTAAAGGGCAGTGAGGAGGAGAATGGGGAGTATTCTGGGAGAAATTATTGGTTTTGTCATTCAGTCATTTCTGTCATGTCTAACTCTTCGTGACCCCATTTGGGGTTTTCTTGGCAAAGATACTGGAGTGGTTTGCCATTTCCCTTCTCCAGCTCATTTTACAGGAAACTGAGGCAAACAGCATTAAGTCACTTGCTCAGGGTCACACAGCTAGTAAGTGTCTGAGGCCAGATTTGAACTCATGAAGATGAATCTTCCAGCTTCCAAGCTCCATGCTCTATCTACTGTGTCACCTAGCTGCCCTTACTGCTGAGTAGACCTTGTCTATAAATCTTTTCCTGAAACAGAAATCTTCACAGAAAGTGCAGTTCCCAATTTCTAAAGACTCCATAGAAAGTACAAAGTTTCACATCTCTATGGAGTTCTGTGCCACACATAAAGCCTCACGGTCACCTGTCATGTTTAAGAGTTTGTTAAATATTTGCCTTTATTTCCTTTTAAAGTTTTCTCCTTAAAAAGAGAAAGATTGCTGGAGAAGACAGCATTCCATGCAGAGGGTGCAGAGCAGAACATTCTGAGAAAATCCTGACAAGATGAGAGGATTAAAAAAATCATCTTTTATTTCAGATGATTCATCTGTATAGAAAAAAAAAGACTCCATGTGGTTTTTATTTTGTAAAATCAGTCATTTAAATGAAGTCAGAATGGCTGTTGTCTAGCATCCCAGCAGAAAGCTCTCATATTTGGTTTTGTTTTGGGTTTTTTTAAAAATAGTTTTGTATATTCGTGCACTGTCTCCTTCTCCCAGGGGCTAATGAGAACCAACAATTGAGTCCTCCCTGTTGAGCTCCTAAAGCAGGCAAATGTTGTCTCACGAGGGACACATATCAGTGTTTACAGACTTACACAGCACAGTAAAAATGGGCTCCCATAGCCACCTCTGATACTTTAACAAGAAAAACTGGTACAAAAATTGCTAAGGCATGAAAGAAATTTCACTTTTTATGATCCACACACTGGATGGGAAATCATTTTCCATCTAATAGAGGCAATTTTCCCCCCAGAAAAGTATAAAATCTGGGTATCCACAATGTTAAATGTAGGCAGAAAAATGTTGACACCTAACACATTCCAATTGCTCAGCTCTTAACATGCTATATGTCTGTGTGTTTTAAAAGGAAAGTATATTCCATAGCATCTGCCCACACTTGTGCTTTCATCCTAACGGCCTCCTTTTCCCAAGGTTTATTTACATAAATCAATTCTCTGCAAACAGAGAAGTTTTTAAATGGATTCCGGCTGCCAAAATGAGCAGAGAAGACCAAAGCAATGTGCCGAGAGGCTTGAAAATGGACGAGAAGTTTGGTGCTGTTCATAAAATGCATTCATTTTGATGCCTGATTACATCGCAACATGTCTCGTTTCCATCTGGCATTATATGGGCAGCCAGTAATTTGTGCTGAAAGAGACCTAAGGGAGCAGTGAGTATGTTACCTTATGGGGATGTTGGTCTAATGTGTTCAGGCTGGGGTACTTCTGCCTGATTCAATTCTGGTAAATCTGTTTTTCCATTTCCCTTGTAAGCAACTAGGCAGTGGAAAGAGCCTTGGGTCTGCAGTCAGGAAGACCTCAGTTCAAATCTAACCTCAGATACTTACTAGCAGTGTGGCCATGGGCAAGTCACTTAACCTCTGTTTGCCTCGGTTTCCTCAACTATAACATGGGGATAAAACAGCATCTACGTCACAGGATCATCGTGAGGATTAAATGAGATGGTAATCATACCGGCATATCGTAGGTGTCAGACATATGAATGGTTATTTCCTTCCTTTCCACCAGCACCTTTCCATCAGCTTCTCTCTCAGGGTAGGACTTCACCTTTCCCTCCCTATTAGGAAGCTCTTGAAAACACAGCCAACCAGTCAGTGGTTCTGAGAGTTTAGCAATCAATTAAGATGAAGGATTGAAAAGGAAGGTCAGTGGGTGGAAAGAGTCCAAGAGCTGCTCTAGAAGACTTCATTAAATCAATAACCATCCAGGCTTCAGTTTTGCTCCTAATTCATAGAGGGGTTTGGAATTGTTAGACGCCGGCCTCAATTGTTTTTCAATATCTTGTTTCTATCTCAGTTTCTATATTTCAGCCTTTCCCGGAATTGCCCAAGTGAAATGGTTACTAAACTAGACAGGGTGAAATCTACACATACTGTGGTAATAGGATACTACTGACTCAGTCTGTCTAGATGATGAAAATTCATGGACGTTTCAAAAAACTAAATTACGTATATAATTGTCTCAGGCTCCCTCTCCAGTCTCTCACAGTGGGCTCAGATGGATTTTGATTGTTGTCCCTAACAATGACTATCCACTAGTGTTAGCTGTCACTGTATACCTGGCATTGAATGCACTAAGTGCAGGGAATAGAAAGAAAAAGGGAAAGCCCTCAAGAGACTTACATTCTCAGCATGTCGATAACCAGATAGATGCAAGATAGATACGATGTCAAAGAGAATCTCACACGGAGTGTGCTAGCCGGGGGGGGGGGGGGAGGGATGGGAAAGACCTTTTGCAGACAGTGGGACTTAAAAGATAAATCTTCAAGGAAGCCAGGGAAGCCAGGAGTCAGAGCGAGGAGCGGGGCATTCCAGGCATGAGGGACAGCTGATTAGAAAAGCATGAAGACAAGAGATGGAGTGTTCAAGGAACAGAAAGTTGGCAAAGCTAGATTGTACAGTGTGTGGAAAGGTGCAAATTGTTAAAATACCAGAATAGTGGGAAGGGGCAAGATTGTGAAGGGCTTTAAATGCTAAAAAAAAAACCTTTCATATTCGATCCTGGAGGTGTTAAGGAGTCACTAGAATTTATTGAGTATTGTGGCAAAACGATCACTAAAATGGAGAAGCCTGAGGAAGAAAGACCCATTAGGAGGCTATTGTAACAGTCCTGATGAGGCAGTAGGGTGGTAGTTGTGAGTGGAGAAGAGATTTATATGACAGATTTCGTGAGGGTAGAAAGGACAAGATTTAACAAGAAATCGAACACGTAGGGTGAGTGAGTGAACAGGTGAAGGGAACACTGAGGTGGTAAGCCTGGGTGACTGGGGGAGTGAGGCGATCCTTATGAGAAATATGAAAGTTAATAAGAGGGAAGAGTTTGGGGAAAAAGACACTGAGTTCTGATTTGGACAGAGGTTGAGTTTGAACTGCCTTTGGGACATCCAGTTGGGGATGTCCAAATGACAACTGGTGATGTGGGATCATAGGTCAGAAGGGAGAGTAGGGCTGAATATGCAGATGAAGGAATCATCTGTATAGTGATGAGACCTGAACCGTGTGACCTGTTGAGGTCACTTAAGTGAGAGAATATGAGGGAAAAGAGAAGAGGGCTCAGGGCAGGGCCTTGGAGGACAGCCACAGTTAGGATGTATCATTTTTTTTTTTTTGATTGCCTGAGATGTCTATTATAGAGGATAGGAACTTAAACTTGACATAACTGATACACAGAATTCCAAGATCAGGGAATGCCCTCTACCAGTGCATCCCCAACCCCCTCCAAGAAAAACTCATCACCAGGAAACTCATCATCACAGAGGTTGCATCCCACTTTGGTACTCATGCCTCATCAGTACCCTCAGTTGCCTCTGCCCCTCTGATTGGAGGACTCCTCCCAAAGCCTCCATCTAAGGAGGGCTCAGAAACCAAACCGACTCTTCATTTCCTCTCAGCTGCACTCCTTGGATTCACCTCCACAAGTGTCAAGCCCTTCTCCCCGCCTTCCCTTTCCACCTTCTTCCCTTTCTAGCTTTTTGTGTGTTGTCTTCCCCACATTAGATTGTAATCTCCTTGAGGTCAGGGACTGTCTTCTTGCTTGTATTTGTAGCCCCAGCTTGTAGCACAGAGCCTGGCACATAATAGGTGCTTAATAAATGTTTGCTGTATTGTATAGTAAGTACCTTTGCAACCTAGAGAACTGTCTAGATCATTGAGAGATTAAGTGACTTGCCCAGGGTCTCATTGTATGTGTTAGAAATAAAACTTGAGGGACAGCTAGGTGGTGCAGTGGATAGAGTACCAGCCCTGGAGTCAGGAGGACCTGAGTTCAAATTCGGCCTCAGACACATAATACTTACTAGCTGTGTGACCTTGGGCAAGTCACTTAACCCCATTGCCTAGCCAAAAAACAAAAACAAAAAAAACAAGAAATAAAACTTGAGCCCATGTCTACATGGCTTGGAGGTCACCTCTCTATCTACTATGGCACATTGCCTCTCATACATTACATATAGTTGTATATATGAACATATATATATATATATATATATATATATATGTGTGTGTGTGTGTGTGTGTATAAATATTTGTTTATAGATATAAACTTACCTTATGTAGGCAAGTTCAGTGTCATGAATAAATGGTGGAAATACAAATTTGAAAGATTGTGCCTTAAAATTAAGTGAAGTCATATCCAAAGGGATATCTGCTTGCATTCTTGCATAAACTTCAGTTACAGCTTATAAAAGATGTGTGTTAACTCCCATAATAGCAATCACATGTTTTTCAGTGCTAAGAAAGAAAATAAGACATTCAGGTCACAATATTGGTTATGCCATGACAAAGACTTCCAGCTTCGTATCCAGTGAAAGGGGGCATAGGTATTTACCTCAGGCTTGTATTTAGGTGCATTTCAATGCTCATATTGAATAAGTCCACTAATCTAAAATTTGCAGAAGACAAGGCGAGATCTGAGATCGAACTGTCATAAAGAAAGGCAAAGCAGTGATTTATTGTTATAAAGACCCCCGTGGACATGCTGCATTTTTTTCCCATTGATCTTACCATTTCCATCTAGGCTTGTCACAGATCTGAAATAGAAACTTCTTTCTATGGGCAGCCCAAAGGAGGTTGGCATGATGGTATGGATTTCTGAGAAAAGGAGAGGTTTTACCCAACAATTACTGTAGCCACTTTGAAGACCGTCAAGGATCTTTTGATTATCTGGAGTCTCCCCTCAGATTGCCCAAATGCCTGTAATCATAAAAATGGCCTGTCTAAAATAAGTCCATCTGGAAGATTGAACTCTCATCATGATCACATCAAGAAGAAATGTGGCCAGTAGTTCTAAAAATCACTATCAATCCATAATGAAGAGATGTGATAGACCTGGGTCCATAATGAGACACACATTTTTGGACCTGGCCACCACGGAAATTTGTTTTATTGGACTATTCATATCTGTCACAGAGGTTTTTTTGTTTTTTTCTTTCAATGAAGAAGGAGTGGAAGAGAAAATATAGTTTTGTTCATTGTAAAAAGTTAAATTTAAAGAGAACTATATATATGTATATTATATTATATTTTATAACATGAACCTAACCTATATTGCATTTTTGTCCTTAACAGGATAGAATACAGACTTGTAATTTCATTGGCATAAGCAAAGACTCAGTGAGGAAACTTCCTGACAATGTATTTCAGCGTCTTGCCTGTACTTATGCTTCTCGAGAGCTGCCCAGAGCACTGATGGGGCTAAGTCACTTGGTTAAGTTGTGGGACCCTGGAAAAGTCAGTTCTCTAGGCCTATAATAATAATACAAAATATTATATATGTTATATTATATATAGTAATGATATATTATACAATAATATAAATAATAATCTATTATATAATATAAAATATAAAAATAATATATTGTAGCATATATATAACCTATATCAAATTGCTTACCACTTTAGGAAGAAGGGAGAGGAAGGAGAGAGAGAGAAAAATTTGGAAATCAAAATTTAGTAAAAATGAATGTTAAAAATTCTATTAATATGTAATTGTAAAAAATAAAATACTATTAAAGAAAAATAAGGGGCAGCTAGGTGGCCCAGTGGATAGAGCACTGGCCCTGAAGTCAGGAGGACCTGAGTTCAAATCTGGCCTCAGACCAAACACTTGACACTTACTAGCTGTGTGACCCTGGGCAAGTCACTTAACCCCAATTGACTAAAAAAAAAAAGAAAGAAAAAGAAAAAGAATAATATCATAGATGATCACAGATTTAAAGATGGAAGGGACTTTATAGGCCATCTGGTACTTTCCCCCATAATAACAGGAGCTTACTTTCATAAAGCCCTTTAAAGTTTATAAAGAACTGTATTTATATTATTCCTCTGAATAGTTCACCCTTCCATTTGTACAACTGAAATTCTATCTACTCGTACAGTTGAAAAACAATGACTAGATTGTTATCATTCATTAAACCAACATCTATATATTGATACTCATGACCCTTTTGTACTTTGTATGTATCTACCTAAACTTCCCCACTTGTGGCCAACTCCTTACAATACCTTTTGTACTCATGCACAAAAACACACACTCACAAGTTTGCCAAAGAACAGCCCCTGCCATGCGATGTTGGAGGGAAAATATTTGTACTGCTTGGTTTGGGAGAGGCCAAGGTAGATACAGAACAGTGGTTCCCAAATGTTTTAGTGTTAGGACCTCTCTACATTCTTAAAAATTATTGAGCCCACACCCAAGAGCTTTAGTTTGTGTGCTTTATATCTGTTGGCATTTGCCATATTAGAAATTAAAACATCTCGGTGTTATTATGAAAATGATTATGACTTCACAGACCCCCTGAAATTATCTCAGGGACCCCCAAGAGTCCCCCCCAAAAAATATCTTGAGAACCAATGATAGGAAAGAGTGGAGTAACCCCTTACACCCTGAGGTAGCTCATTCCACTTTGGCTACCCAGTAGCAGTATCTGTGCCCAACGAACCTGAATTACCATCTGGATTTCGTGTTTGTCAAATTCATACCAAAAAATCTCTTGTCCAAATAACTTCAAATACAGAGAAATACGTGATTTATCAGAAGGGATCGCCTTCCAGTCTGGAAGCTAGGAGAAAAGAAAAGGCCAGTAAGGATAACACCCCCAAAATATGGACCAAACCAAATAAAATGGCCCAGGCCTTTTACCATTTTTATGAAATCCTTGATATCATCTACTCTATATGAGTCACTTCTGGACAGGTCTTTCTTCAGGATCCTAGCCAGCATTTCTTGAGTGTGCATTTCAAACCGTAACCAGAAGGGGAAAGACACATTTACCAAAACTTAAATGGTTCGACCTACCTTGAAAAATCCAAGACCAAATAGGGAGACATTATTTACCTCCAAGATATCTGCAGTGTTTCCAAGGAAGTTTGCCTTTAATGCAATAATAATCTCAGGTGGTAATGTGCTGCCTGCTTTATTTAATGAATAGTATTTTAAGGCAAATCCTGCCATTAGCAATTCTGGAGAAGAAGAAAATCGTGCTGTTCAGCAAAGCTCAGTTAGCTTTTAAAAAACAGTAGATACCATGTGGATCTATCGGCTAATTGCCGAATATGATGGAGGCAGAATAAAATGAGAAATGCCAGAAATCACACACACACACACACACACACACACACACACACACACACACGCACACACACACAAAGTGAATCTGATGCCATGAAACCATCAGAGGGAGAACACCCCACATATCTGTTCCATTGATGGGCAAAGTTACAAACCCTTCATTCATTACCTGTCAATTATCACATTTTTCCAGTGCTGCCAGCTAGATTACTTACATATTTTCAGGTCCTGTAACATTGACTGGTGAGTTACATTAATGAGATATCAGTCAATGGGAGGAGCCAAAGGGAATGGAGAGTAAATGAGCTCTCTTTTGCTATCAGTTTAGGGGAAACTGAGGGTCATACAAGGGTCATACAATGGTCATACAACAGGATTTTGTCAGAGCCTGAATTACATTGAGATGCTTTCACAAAGCCTTGTAAATACACTTCCATGTTCTGGCTTTATGCCTTTAATATTAATGTATTCTTTGCTTTTCTTTACTTGTTCGAGTCAAATTTTGTGGGGATGTGCTGAAAGTCTTTAAATTCTGAGATGAGCTTTGTGGAATCTCTCTGCCAGGATTTGCAGCAGAGGGCCAGTTTGTTGGTTTGATGTTTTGTAATTGTAAATTCATTCTGCAGTGAGAGAACGTGGCATATGGGAAATTACGCTTCCTGGGATGAATGAATCGACTTCAGCGTTTCCCCCTGGAAACAATTCCATTCAGTGTCTGGAACGCTGCATGACTCCTCTCCATTCCTGCCGGGGCAATGTTTACCTAAAGCTTACACAGCCAGAGAGAGGCATGGTTTTGGAAATGCTCAACGAGGTTCTCTGGAAATCTATTCCATAAAGGAATTGGATTTTTCTTGCTATCTATTTGAAGTCAATATCTCTTTGTAAAAATCAATCTAATGTTAAATGGTGAAATGGAACCAGGGTTCTAGTCACTCAACCCCCAAGAATGGGGGAACACAGATGAAGGGAGCTTGAGCCAATGGCAGAGAAGAAAGACTCCCTGACCCCCCCCTCAGGGTACCGGAGGGGGCGGGGTGGGGGGAGAAATAAAGTGAAATAAGTATGGCTCTGACAGAATGGGGTCAGAACAACCATGCTACACACACACACACACACACACACACACACACACACACATGTATGTATGTATATATACATGTCTCCCTCATTAGAATGGAAACCCCTTGCAGTCAGGCACTGTTTCCCATTTGTCATGATAGCTATCCCCAGAGCCAGCACCACGTGGGCACAAAGTAGCCCAAGGATGGACTTGCTAATTGATTATTTCCCCATGACCACCCTCCAGATTCTTGAACACAAGAAAGGATTTCCAATTCAGTGCAAAGTAGGAATGTGATGCACTTAACCGTTTTATTAATCTCACATGGGCAGACCCATTTTAAAACAAGAACAACAGCAACATGAATGCGCTACAATAACTGACTTGGAGGTTCACGCCAGGTTATTTCCTTCACAACAACCCTATGAGACAGGTGCTAAGACAGTCTGATCACCCCGTAGAGGAACCAAGAATTTTCTTCCCAAATGAATTTAGTGCTTGCCACCCCCAGGAAGGTTTATCTTGGAGTGCACAGGGGCCCTTACCTGAGAAGCTGTCCCAGTAATAGCTTCTACTGAGTCTAAAGCTAAAGTTGCTTTTATGAGGCATGGGCTTCAGCATTCTAAGAGCAAGTCTACAGGCCAAAGCCCTGAGAAAAAATCAGCAAAAATCAAACATCTGTGGTCATTGCTCCATAAAATCTTCCCCCTAGAAAGATTATCTTCACCACAATGCTCTAGCTGTCTTCTCACGGGAGGAAGATCCTCTTTACCCTGTGGACACCCCTCCCTCGCCACCCCTTCTGAAGAGCCAGTTCTTTCTGGGGCCTTATCCTCCGGCCCTATTCAGTGGTCTTCTCCTATTAGAATGCAAGTTCTAGGAGGGCAGGGACAGTCTTTCATTTTACTTCCATTTGTATTTCCTGTGCTTATCACAGTGACTGACACGTAGTAAGCACTTAATAAATGCTGTTGATTTGTTGACTCAATTACCCCATTTGGGGAAATCTCTTACAGTGACCGATGTTCTGGAGCTGAGCTTCTCCCCCAAGACTTCATTTGGGAGTAGATGAAGCTGGCCACTTGCAAGCTTCGTTCCTTAAGCATGGCATTGGCCATGGTTGCCAATACTGGGACCCCTGGGATCGTTTCAAATATCACCAGAGAAAGAACAATTCGAACTTGAGGAGGGACATTGGGTTTGAGGAAGGCATGAATAACCATTTCTTGAACTTGTGAAAAGAGGGAGACATTTCATAGAGCCTCTAAGTTTTTAATGTTTCTTTGCTACTTCATTATTATGAATGACCCTGCCCCTCTTCCATGAGTGAGCTGGGCTCTGCTTAAATGCAAAGCATTCTTTATTTTTTAAAAACATTTTAAAATTAATTTATTTTCAATTGGCAACAATCACTTCCATATGCTTCTGAGTTTTAAATTTTTCTCCTTCTCTCTCCCTACCTCCCTCCCCAAGATGGGATGCAATCTGATATAGGCTATACATATATATTCCTATTAAACATTTTCACATTAGTGATGTTGTAAGGAAGAATTAGAACCAATAGGAGGAACCAGCCAGGAAGAGGAAACAAAACACAACAGAAGAAAAAAATAGCAAATAGTATGCTTCGATCTGCATTCAAATTCCATAGGTCTTTCTTTGGATGTGGATAGCATTTTCCATCATGAGGCCCTTGGAGATGTCCTAGATCCTTGTATTGCTGAGAAGGGTTAAGTCTATCAATACTAGTCATTGCACAATGTGGCTGTTACTGTGTACAACATTTTCCTGGTTCTGCTCATTTCACTCAGCATCAGACCACACAAGTCTTTCCAGGTTTTTCTGAAGTCTACTGCTCATCATTTCTTATAGCACAATAGTATTCCATTATATTCATATACCACAACTTGTTCAGCCATTCCCCGATTGATGGGCATCCCTTCAATTTCCAATTCTTTGCCACCACAAAAAGAGCTGCTATAAATATTTTTGTACATGTAAGTCCTTTTCCCATTTGTATGATCTCTAGAAGTGCTATTGCTGGGTCAAAGGGTATAAATGCAAAGCGTTCTTAGCATATGGCTTATATCAAAGCTGATTGCCTCATCTTTCCTGCTCACATGGAAACATTGTCATTTTTTTTCTCTGACAATGATAGTAAAATGAATACCCTAATTGAGTGTCTTTGATTAATTGAGAATCTGCATATTTGATTAAATTCAATCCAACAAATATATATTATATATGATAGAGCCCAATCTAACAATATGTACATATAAAATATATGTTATATTTGTGTGAACACATCACATATATATTGTTATTTGTTTTCAAAGAGTACCAATGATATCATGGGGTGACATCTTGACTTTCCTGTAAATTGGATTTAAGTGAGGCAGGGTTACATAAAGTTATCAGCATCACTCTCTCTTTCAGAATCATCGAAAGCCAGTGGCAGGATGAAAGTCAAGACAACCGTCCATGGTCTGGGATGCAGTGGATGAGCTTGGTGTTTTCCATGTCTGACCAAGCTCTAAGCACTCCACAGCTCGGGCTTAGACTGCCTCCATGGCTGTTAGAACAAATCGTTCTCATCTGTCCACTCCACCAGAGAAATGTATATATGTGTGTGTGTGTGTGTGTGTGTGTGTGTGTGTGTGTGTGTGTGTGTGTGTGTGTGTGTGTATGTGTATATATACCCCTATACCTGGAGATAAGGATAGAGACTGTGGTCTCACACATAGAAGGAATTCCTCAGGTGAGGAAACTCTTGCCAATACAGGTAGTCACCTTGTCTTCCAACCACACAGAGTCTCAGCAAGTTGCTTATAGCACTAAGAGGTTAAATGACTTACTTGGGCCCAGGGTCATTCAGCCAAAATAAGACCAAGACAAATGCAAACGAAAACAAATCCCCTGCCTTCTAGGAGTTTACAATCTACTGGGGACCGACAACAAACCTCATTGACTTCTGGGGGATCAATGGAGATTATGTATGTACCTGAAGCTCTCTATCAATATTAGCCAGTAGTAGCAGCAGCAGATAAACAGATCACTTTTAAGGGCAGGGAATGGTCATAGCTGGTGGCAACGAGAAAGACTTCCTGTAGAAGGTGGCACCTGTAGTGAGCCTTAAAGGAAACCAGGGAGTCCTGGAGGCAGGAGTGAGGAGGGAGTGCATTCTAGGCAAAGCAGGGATGGACGCCTCTGGCAAGACAGGCAGACAATGGAATGACATATTCAGGAAACAATAAATACGCCAGCATCCATGAAGAGGAGTCATCTATTGACAAACACTTATCAAGCACCTATATGTGCCAGGCACTACGCTAAGAGCTGGGGACGTGAAAAGAGGCAAAAGACAGTCGCTGCCCTCAAGGAGCTTACAATCTAATGAGGAAGACAGCATAGAAACAAAGATGTACAAAGCAAGTTATCTACAGGATTTAAGAACACTGGTCTCATGAATTAGAACTATAAACCAAATATTCCACTGGAATTGTGATCTCAGAAGGGCAGACATTCTCTCCAGGGAAGTTGATCAGAACCCACCACGCCTCCCCACTCTTCATGTCCTCCCATAAGTCCCCTCCAGGGGTTCCAACCCAAAGTTCTGGGGCCCTTCCTCCCTTTATCTCACGTGGCAAGGATACTAGTAGAACAAACAGGCTGTCTACACCTTGTTTCCACCATAAGAGCAGCTGCGATCTGATTTCTGATGGGAAGATCAGAAGTACCAGATGAATACCCAGGCAGGAATTTCTTGATCTGCTTTAGACTGGCTGGGTGTCCTGCATTTCCTATGGACTTCAGGGCCAGAATCATGCCTTCTTCATCACCCTTGTGCGATGCTTCAGCTAACAAATCACGAAGGGGCTGGAGAAAGAGAATTCAAAGCCCAGAAAAGTGAACAATGATGCTGTGCTCACACCACAGCAGAAACCTCGTGCTAAGTTAGCTAATACCGGCTCCATTTTTCAACTCGAAACCAGGAAGATGAAATAGGATGACCAGGCATAATGGTGGATCCACTGAAATCAAAGAAATCCATAATTTCTTAATCTAATTCTACAGAATTTAAGTGCCTGGTTAGAAATTTCTCTTTTTGTAGTTGTTAATTTTTTTCAATTTTTATTTCCAGTACCAAATTCCCTCTCTCCCACTACCCCTCCCCCACCCATTAAGAAGGCAAGAAATACACTACTCATTAGACATAAGAAAAGTCTATCTTCTCCTACCAAGGGACAAGAAAAAGTTAATATACCATAAAGGGGGTCAGAAAAAGGAGAAAACTATTTGGAAACTAACAGTTATCTTTATAGACCTAACTAGGAATTTCTATATTGAGATCAGTGGTACAAAGCACATCTCTTGTTCAGTGGGGGTTGGGGGAGAACAATACATTGTCTGCTGTTGGAGGGTGGGGTGGGTACAATATAGCTAAATGACAAAAGAGGAGCTCAACACAGCTAGCCATTTGTTAGCTGACAATTTTAATCAGTTTTTCTTGCTAACGAGGCTGAAGTGTCCTGTAAATTCAGTAACCTGAAGCAAAGCCCTGGTTGCCACAACCTAGTTAGGGTCTTGCTTCCATGGTGGCCCAGTGGATGGAGGGGTTGTCTTGGAGTCAAAAAAGACCCAAGTTAAAATCCTGCCTCAGACCCATATTGAGTGATCTTGGTCAAGGCACTTGAGCTTTCTGAGACTTAATTTCCTCGTCTGTAAAATGGGAATAATTAGCTCTGTAACTCTGGACAAGTCACTGAGATTCTATTGTCCTTCATTTTTTTGTCTGTAAAATGAGGAGGTTAGACTTTATGATATCCAAGGTCTCTTCTCACTCTAAATCTATGGTCTTATGGCATAACCCAATTGGGCCAATTCATTCAAACAATTAGCTAATTCAATGGCAAAAATTATTTGTCAGACAGATGCTTGAATGGAACGCTAGTCTAAACAAAATAGTCTTCTAGTGACCTCCTGGGCACATGTTGAATTGAATGAGATAATAATTGTGAAGTGCTTAACACAGTGCCTGGCACAAAGTAGGCCCTATGTAAATGTTGGTTGTTATTATTATTAGGAGAATCCTCATAAACATTCCACAAGGATATTTCCATTGGTAGCATGGAAGAAATTTTTTAAAAATTGTTCTGATTTAATTGAGATCATTTTTATTACTTATTCTGACAAGGGGAGAACTGGACCATGGACAAGCAACAAGGTCTAACAGATGTTCACCAACCAAGCAGAATATGGCTTAACTAATTTATTCTTTTTTCACTGGGTTAAGAAGACAAAGGTAAATTGGAGTTGGTACAGACTTGAAAGAGAAATGGGGAGGGGAAAGGGGAGTACAGCCAGGAAAGGGAAATACAAAATTAGGAGATTCACAAAGGTATACAGTTAGCAGGGCAGTGATGAAATTGTGATGGGAACTTTCTAGGAATAAGTATTGTGAGGTAAGTAGATGCTTTGCATTATCCTGCTTAGAGAGAGCAGGAGAGCAACATTCCTATGGGAATGCATTTCCCAAGTTTCTCCCTCAGCTACCTCGTCTACCCAGAGGCCTTTGCAGGAATGCCAGGCTCTCCAGGCCCACAACAAAGTAAGGCAAGCTTAGGGTTCTAGCTCCACAACAGCATATGGGGAGGTTAAATGAGACATTCGAATAGAGTGGAAGAGAGAAAAGTCAAGAGACTTACCTGGAGAGGTGATTCTGAGCAGTTCATTGACTTAGCACAATGCTTATAAACCAGTGACCCATAGGCAAGAAACCCAGTGATGCGGAGGATATCCCATGGATGTGACTGGGTATTTTTCAGTATCAACTAGAAAGAAAATATTTTGTTTCTGGCAGCATTGATCCCCAGGAAAGGAAACACATAACCAATTATATTGTGTGATTTTTTAAAATAAAAATACAGGAGTAGTCCTATTGGTATAATGGAAATCTGATCCTAGAGAATCTAACTTCCTTCCAATCTTTTACTCTCGGGCTTTGAGTCACCAAATTCTATATCATTCTCAGCATGCTATTTGTTGTCAGGGGGGTTTTAAAACAGCCTGATACTTCTGTGAATGTAAATGGGTATTTCAAAACAGGATTGTGGCTTTTATTTCATTGGAAGACAGTTTGCCTAATCTCATCTCAAGGAGATCTAATATTCAAAGTATTATCCTAGTGGTAAGAAATCTTTCTTATAGGAGGACTGGATTGTAGATTCCTTGAGGGCAGGGACTATGTTTATTTGTATTTGTATCACCAGGACTTAACACGGTGTTGGCACATAGTAAGCAGTTAATGAATGTTCATTAACTGTTCTATTTTATTCACTAGTCTAATAAAGGGGCATCTAGGTAGAAGTGGATAGAGTGCTGGGCCTGGAGTCAGGAAGGCCTAAGTACAAATCTGGCCTCAGACACTTACTAGTTATGTGACCGTGCACATATCAACTACCCTTGTTTGCCTCAGTTTCTTCTTCTGTAAAATGAACTGGAGAAGGAAATTACAAGCCATTCCAATATCTTTGCCAAGAGAACCCCAAATGGGATCACAAAGAATCAGACTCAATAACAATATCTCTTCCCTTAACTAGTTTAAAGACAGAGATTTCACTTAATTAAAAGAGAGATATCAGGCCTGATCTTCAAGACATCCTGAAGCATTATGGATGTAACTAATGCAAAGGTTGTTTCTTCTCAGGAAGACATTGTGGTGCTTCCAAAAAAAATGTTTTCCCCAGAAATGGGGCTCAAGTCAGCTTCCTGAGTCTTGGATAGAAGGGTGAGAAACTCAAGCACTTTAGGGTCTTATCTGAGGGCAGAAGAAACCTTTGAGCCTTTTTCAAACATTTGCAATCTTTCTAAGGGAAAGGAACATGGAAATAGGACAGAGGAAAAATAAAAGCAATACCTTGGCTTCATCAACAGCTTCCTGCGTCGTGGTACAGAAATGCAGAGTCAAAAGCACAGACTGAAAAGTCTCCCAAGCATTGAGTTCCTGCTGGTCAGTTTTAAGCCTTAGAAACTTCATGGCCTGTAGACTGGCCACAGCAGGGATGATATCTAAAAACAAGCTCCTGAAAGTGATCTGAAAGAAAATGTTCAAGTTCTCAAAGGGAGGAACTTTAAAAAAAAAATGAATGAAGTTTGCGAGTTTTGCTACCTGTAAAATGTTTGGTCAGTGTACTTTTTCCACACTGACTCTATGGTGATAACATCAGCCATTTGGAAGAGCTGGACTAGTTGAAAGAATTTTGAGGACATTTCACCAGGAATCAAGTTTTCCCTGTGGACTGCCAAATACTCCATTACTTCTGCTATCTTAAAAACAAGGAGAACATCTGCTGTGGTGAGTCATTCGACTCCATGCAATTAGGCAAATACGTATTAAGTACTTACGGTATGCAACTGGTCAGTCAGTTATTAAGAACCTACTATGTGCAGGCCCTGTGCTAAACATGGAGGCGGGGGGAGACAGAGAAAGGCAAGGCGGTCGCAGCTCTTGCTCACAGTCTAGTAAAGGAGATAACGTGCAAATAACTCTGTACAGACAAGCTATGGATAAGATAAATTGGAAATAATCAATGGAAGGAAATCAAGCAGAATTAAAGGGAAGGAGGAAGGGTTTCTTACAGAAAGTAGAATTTTAGTTGGGACTTAAAGGAAGCCAGAAAAATCAGCAGGCAGAGATGAACAAGTATTACAGGCGTGGAAGAAAACCAGTGAAAATGCAGAGAAGGAAAATGGAATGTCTCCTGTGAGGAACGGCAAGGAGGCCAGTCGCTCTGGATTACAGAATTGGGGGTAGAGGAGGAGAGGGTTAAGGTATAAGAAGGCTGGAAAGGGAGGGAGGTTCCAGGTTGTGAAGAACTTTAAACACCAAACAAGATTTTCTATTTGATCCTGGAGGCAACAGGAAATCACTAGAGTTTATTGAATGAAGGGAGTGGTGTGGTCAGAGCTGTGGATCATTTTGGTGGCTGAGTATAGGATGGACTAGAATGCGGAGAGATTTGAGGCAGGAAGACCCCCCAGCAGCTATTGCAATAGTCCAGGCATAGGAGCCCGCACCAGGGGGGTAACTGTGAAAGAGGGAAAAGCAGGGAGAATACGTGAGAGATATTGCAAAGGCCACATTGGCAACAGATTGGACACGAGGGGTGAAAGAGAATGAGGAAGGGAGGATAGTGCCTAGGTCATTCTTCTGGGTAGTTGGGAGGACCGTGTTACCCACAGTAATAAGGAAGTTAAGAAGAGGGGAGAGTTTGGGGAGACAGATAATTAGTTCAGTTTTAGACATATTGAGTTCAAGATGTCTACAGGATGCCCAGTTCAAGAAGTCCAACAGGCAAACAATGCTGGAAGTCAGGAGAAAGGTTAGGACTAGGTAAGTGCTGAGTAATCGAGAATCATCAGCATAGAGATGATAATTAAATGCGTGGGAACTGATAAGATCACCAAGTGAAGTAATATACGGGGAGAAGAGAAGAGGGCTCAGGGGTCCTATGGGACACCCACGGTTAGTGAGGAGACTGAGAAGGAGCTGTCAGACAGGTAAGACAGAGTAGGGTCACCAAAACCCAGAGAGAAAAGAGTATCAAGGAGAAGAGGGTGATCAATAGTGTCCAAGGCTGCAGAGAGGTCAAGGAGCATGAGAATGGAGAAAAGGCCACTGGATTTGACAATTAAGTGATAACTGGCAACTTTGGAGAAAGCAGTTTGATTTGAATAATGAGGTCAGAAGCCTGACCATGGAAAGATAAGAAGAGAGAGAGGAATGAAAATGGAGACACTTACTGTGGATGTCCTTCCCAAGGAATTTAGCGACAAAAGAGAGAAGAGCTATGAGATGATGGCTAGGGAGCATAGATGGATCAAATAAAGAGTTTTATGAGGAGAGGGGAGACACAGGCATGTTTGTAAGGCAGTAGGGAAACAGCCAATAGACTGGGAAAGATTAAAGTTAAATGAGAGTATAGGGATGATAGAGGGGGTAATCTGTTGAAGAAGACAGAGGGGATGGTGTCAGTTGGGTATATAAAAGGGTTTGCTTTGCCAAGGAGAAGAGTCTCCTACTGAAAGAAAGATTTGGAGAAAGAGACTGTAAGCCAGGCATGGAATTCAGTGGGGAAAGAGGGAAGGAGGGAGGGAGGGAAGGAAGGAAGGAAGAAAAGAAGGAAGGAAGGAAGGAAGGAAGGAAGGAAGGAAGGAAGGAAGGAAGAAAAAGAAAGAAGGAAGGAAAGGAAGAAAGGAAGGAAAAGAAAGAAGGAAGGAAGAGAAAGAAAGAGAGGAGAAAGGAAAGGAAAGGAAGAGAAGGGAAGGGAAGGGAAGGGAAGGGAAGGGAAGGGAAGGGAAGGAAGGGAAGGGAGGGAAGGGAAGGGAAGGAAGGGAAGGGAAGGGGAGGGAAGGGAAGGGAAGGGGAGGGAAGGGGAAGGGAAGGGAAGGGAAGGGAAGGGAAGGAATCACCTGGTAATATTGGTGTATTGGATAGAGTACAGGCCTGGGAGTCAGAAAGATCTGGGTTTTAATCCTGCCTCAAACACTTTCATGCTGTCTGACTCTGAGTTAACCTCTTGCTCCACTTCAGTTTCCTCATCTGTAAAATGGGGGGAATAACAGCCTCATCCCACAGGTCTGGTGTGAGGATCAAATGAGATAATATATGTAAAGCACTTTGCAAACCTTACCTTTCTATATAAAAATTAGCCGTTATTAACTTTAAACTATTTTTTCCCCTTTGATAGGAAGCCTTTATTTACTTGGCATCCATTGGCTTATACATCCAGACCAGGAAGAGGCCCTAGAGACATTGAGTCCAACACCCTCATTTTTTTTGGGTGAAGCAATTGGGGTTAAGTGACTTGCCCAGGGTCACACAGCTAGTAAGTATTATGTATCTGAGTCTGGATTTGAATTCAGGTCCTCCTGAATCCAGCACCGGTGCTCTATCCACTGTGCCACCTAGCTGTCCCTCAGACACCCTCATTTTACAGGTGAAGAAACTGAAACTGAGGCTTGCCCAGGGTCACCCGGCTAGCATAAGTCAAAATTTGAACTCAGGTCTTCAGGCCCAGCACTCTATCCACAGCACCACGAGCTCTTCCCTTTTCATATCTCTAAGGTTTAAATCAGTGAGCACTGTGTCCTGAACATTCTGAAGGTTCTTAAGTCAGTCCCTCTGTATTCTAATCCAATCCTGTCCAATCCACTTCACTCTAAAACAAACCACTGAGCACTGATTAAGTGCCTACTGTGTGCCCCAAAGCAATGGGACAAATACAAGAGACAGACGAGAAAGAAAGGGAGGAAAACCAACCCACGTCCAGAGGACATTGACCAGAAGTTTTTCTTTACCTGACTCTCTATATTTTGGATTTTGAACAGGTGAACAGGCATTTGAAGCAATTCGCTGCCAAAATGGTAGAAAAGGTTTCCCTGATTCTGAAATCTGGTCTCTTGGTTTTCTGAGGAAGCTTTCTGCATATAGATTAGTTCTAGCTTCTGCCTGTAAAGAGTCCCCGTGAATAAGACTTCTAAAAAATTTATTTATTTATTTTCAGTTTTCAACATTCACTTCCATAAGCTTTTGAATTTTAAATTTTCTCCCCTTCCCTCTCCAAGACAGCATGCAATCTGATATAGCCTCTACATATACATTCCTACTAAACATATTTTCACATTAGTGATGTTGTAAGGAAGAATTAGAACCAATAGGAGGAACCACAAGAAAGAGAAAACAAAACAAACAGAAGTAAAAAAAGAGCAAACAGTATGCTTCGACCTGCATTCAGACTCCATAGTTTTTTCTCTGGATGTGGGTAGCATTCACGCATGAGAATTTTAAAATTCACCAAGCAAAGAAAAGAAAGTTTCAGCCAGGTACAAGACCTTCAGGAGAGGCAACAAGTCATAGAAAGGAACAAATATGGAAGCTCAGATAAAAAGCACTGGGTTATAAGGGAAAGAAAATGTCATGTTTCTCTCCATCTTTGTGAAAAAAACGTCCTGATTTGTATACGTGAAAGGACCATATCTACGGATGGAAATCAAATTCTTCATGCTTAAGAAATTCCATATCAGGGGTTGGTGGCACAGTGGGTAGGGCGCTGGCCTCGGAGTCAGGAAGACCTGAATTCAAAACCTTCCCTAACCACTTACTAGCTGTGTGAGCCTGGGCAAGGTGCTTATTCACCCTTTTCAGTCCCAGTTTCCACACCTGTCAAATGGCACCTTCCTCCAGCAGTCATTGTGAAGACCACAGAAGATAACATACAGCACTCGGCAGATCTTAACCTGCTATTTTGTTGTTCAGTCGTTTTTCAATCGTGTCCAACTCTTCATGACCTCATCTGGGGTTCTCTTGGCAGAGGTAATGGAGTGGCTTGCCACTTCCACCTCCCGCTTATTTTTACAGAGAAGGAACTGAGGCAAAGAGAGTTAAGTGACTTGCTCAGGGTCACACAGCTAGGAAGTGTCCAAGGCTGGATTTGAACTCAGGAAGATGAGTCTTCCTGACTCCAGGCCCTGCCCTCTATCCACTGTACCACCTAGCTGCTTAACATGCTATATAGGTGCTGGCTATTATTATTATTATTAAACTTAATTAAACTCAACAAGCATTTATTAAGTACCTACTATGTGCTGAGAACTTCCCTAGGGGCTCAGCATAGGGATATGGATATGGATAAAGATAGAGATGGAGACTGGGCACCTGGAAGGCACAGTGACCAGAGCTTTGGGCCTGGAGTCAAGATGGTTTGACTTCAAATCCAGCCTCAGGCATTTACTCTCTGTGTGACCTTGGGCAAGTCACTTAACTTCTGTTTGCCTCAGTTTCCTCATCTACAAAATGGGGATAGTAAGAGTGTCTACTTCCCAGGTTTTGTTGTGAGGATTAAATGACATAATCGTAAAGCTCTTAGTATAGCACCTGGAACACTGTAAATGTTATATCAGTGTTAGCTGCAGTCATCATCATATGACATCATCATCATCATTATTTTAGGGAGTACTCAGGAGAGGAAACTCCCTCCATTTTCTCTACAACTTGTCATCTTAACAAGTTTCCCAAAGCTCTGAGGGGCTCAC